GAATAGTCATTATCTTGAGTCGTTTGAACAACGGTCTACAGTGCTCCCGAGGCTCACTATAGCAAATACGGCGAATGATGCATTTTTGGATTTTAAGAATTCTGCTGCTAGCGGGAGAATTTCCCCAGATGGTGATGGCATATGATAGATGACTCTGTATATGTGCATAATAATATGTAAGAAGTGTTGTTTGTTGCACTTTGTGTCTCAGACAAAGCACCGCGTAACTGGCTCTGCGTAGTTTGCCGCATAGTTCGCTTGTATGAACTGTCCAATTGAGGTTCTCGTTTAAGGTTACACCTAGAAATTTTTGGTTGGTGTTTACGGTTATGTCTTTACCGTTGGACTTAATTTTGGCGTGAGTGCCAGTAGTATGAAGATGGACATTTCGATATATGACTACCGCCCCGTTTTTTCTTCGTTCAACTTCAACCGATTAGTGGCACACCAATCGGACATAGCGCGAATTGCATTATTTGCAGAATCTACTACCGTGTCCATACCAGAACCCGAGATAATTACCGATGTATCGTCTGCGTATTTGCATAGGGTGGCGGTGGTATATTCGAAGGCAGAGTATCCATATCATTTACATAAATGACAAAAAGGAGCGGCGCCAGAGTTGAGCCCTGAGGAGTGCCGACAGTGGGTTTCAAAGTAGAGGAGTTGAATTTAGCAATAACTATGTTGCCATTTCTTTCCGTAACTTCAACAAATTGCGATCTTCTCGATAAGAACGCTGAACGATTGTATCAGTTGCCGGCCAATTCCAACGTAATTCCATAGATTTCTAGCTTCTCCAGCAGGAGTTCGCGATTAATTATCGAAGGCCTTCGATATATCGAAGTAGATGCCCATTGTATATAATTTCTTGTCCAGGGATTCGGAAATATCATTGATAGATTTAAAAAGGCCCGAAACAGTCGATTTCCCCTTAATAAATCCATATGTTGTGTTTTCGAGAATAAGTTGAGCTTGTCAAGGTAATCAGATATTCGTGTCGCTATGCAGGTTTCTATGATCCCTGAGAATACTGAAGCGATTGATATGGGTCGATAATTCCCTACCTGCTGCCGATCGCCCTTCTTATATACAGGAATTACTCTTGTAGTTTTTAGGGAATGAGGGAAAACCCCACTGGTAAACACGTCGTTTGTAATATGGATTAATGGTTTGACAATAGTCATTGCTATACATTTTAATATTTGACCAGGGATTCTTTCTGCGCCAGAAGACTTCCTTTTTGATACTTTATTAATGAGATGGAGAAATTCGGATTCCGAGACCGGTCGAAGGAAGAAGGAACAGGAAGTGCGTCGTGGTATGGATTCATTGTTAGCCACAGTAGAAAATGAGTTGGCAATTGCAGTTGCGCTATCTATGAAATGTTTGTTGAAGATTTCCGCTATTTGGGCGGGGTCTTTAACATTGCTGTTGTTATGCACTATCGAGAGTTCATTCGGTGCTTTTTTGCGCGTGGACATGATACTTTCGTTTATTAGATGCCACACGGCCTTGTTCGGATTGTTCGAATTTGTAATATAGGTAGTAGTCGTTACACTCGCGTTTGGCTTTATCGATTATTCGGCAATACTTCTTTTTAAGTAGGTATTTTATAATTGATTAGGACATCGCGATTACCGGTAACTTTCCACAGGAAGTGTTGGTCCTTAAGGTCTTTACTCATTGTCCTTATTTCTGGGGTAATCCATGGTCGAGGGTGTTTGGCGGTGTATAAGGAACTCTTATATTTTTTTAAAGGAAATGCTGTTTGAAAGTAGTACTGAAGTATGCCCACAAAACAATCGTACTTCGTGTTTGTGCATGTGCTTTCATAAACAGAATTCCATGTTTCTGTTTTGATTGCATTGTAGAAAAACCGTTTGTTATGATTCGAGTAAACTCTTTTTAGAACCCAGCCCTCGTCTTTTTTGATAGAAGAGTCGACACTTATTGTCAATAGAATAGCCATATGGTCGGAAAATCCGCACTCGAGCACCTCCGCATTATCATATTTTAATTTAAAATTATCATATGATAAAGACCTATTAGGCGCTTTCTTTCGGTGATCCAAACGCGTTTGGATTGTCAAATCACGTTCTTTCGAAGTGTGATCTTATAATCATGATTGCTAAAATCGCGAACAAACTGAACATAAAAGTTTTATGATCACGAATTCCTAACCTATAAACGCAAGGATATTTTTGCTCAAATGTTAGATTAGTCAATATGTGTAACTGAAGAGGAGCATAATCGTGCAAGTACTTCCACCATTGAATTTATAACTTATAAATTCAATGCTTCCACTTGTATTTAAATTATTTTCATAATCCAAACAAAAAATATGTAATTCGAATGCAAATGTGCACTACGTAAACTTAACCATATTTTGATTTAAATTCGCGCGTTCTTTCGTAAAACGTGATCTTACGAATCACGATCTCCAAATCATGATTGCGAAGTAGCCGAAAGAAAGCGCCTATGGTCTCAAAGGGTAAGTTGTTTGGTATATTTTTGTAACACCCTGTACGAATACCACAGATGTAAATCGTGACGAAGCCAACAATTTAGGTTATGTTAACTGCTAATTGTTTACAATAGATGAATAGAAAGTTGTTTTTATTTGAAAATTTTAATTGATTTTAAAGTACCTCCTGTGATAATAGCCCCTATTAATTATACACCAAATAGATAAAATGTAGTGATTACTGATACCTTTTTATCTGTATTTTAAGGAAATTGTTTTATTTTTGTTATTAAATATGTATCGACTGTAAACAAAGGTATGAGTAATGTATTTGCAAGGCATCTCACAATGAACACCTTTGACGAAGACCAATTTGCTTATAAAATTCATTTCTCTAATAATTTAGATTGTGATAGTGATAGTGATAAAAGCGATTTCGATGAATGGTATTACAAGCACAAACCACCCCCTCTGTATATAAACGATGACTGTGATGTAGTGAAAATAGAACCTTTTACTACTGTGTTGTATAAAAGAAGCATTTCAAAAGTTTTGCAAGGGGCCAGTGCAAGTTTAAAGAAAAAGAGCAACACCGTAAGCGTATCTGTTCATGGCAACCATGTTCAGTTAACAAAAAAGGCAAAGAAAAAGAAGAAGAAAGTAGGGAAAGCCGTTGTAGGATCAGCCTCCAAAGTTAATGGACCAAAAGTGGCTTCTGCAACTCCTAAGGTTATTGGAAATCTTCAAAACACTTTCGATCGACCCAAGTTAAAGGAGTTCACGGTGAGTATGTACTTATATGTTTTTGTGGGAGTACAAATTTATTTCAGCAAGTAGTTGTACCATATCTGCGAGCCTTATTGCAAACACATTGCTGTTATTACCTACTCTCAGTAACTCTTTATATAATTGGAGCAAGCTCCATATGAAACCAACGAACACACCAATAGTGGTTCTGATTATATTATTAATTGGGCAATACTGTATTCATTTTAAGAATAAGAAGGTAGTGCTAAAATGCATATGGAACCTTTGAACTTCACTGTGATTGGTTAAAACACGAGTCAGTGTTACACTGAAACATAAAACGACTGGGGAATTTTGTAAGCTGGTAGTAGGTTGTTGCCAATTAAACTGACGAAGTAGTGGGGTCGTTATACGCCAACACCAATATTTTTGTCATTAAAGCACCAGACTTAGCACACTTTCTACTTAGGTGGACCCGAATGGAAATATATTTTTTTGTAGGCGATATCGGCGCTAGTTCAAAGATTATGGTCATTTGAAGAATTTTTTTGTAAATAAAATTCAAGATTTTTGACCGTAATTCAATCTTTTGTCCGTAAAGATGCTTTTTTTGTTTCAGAAAATGAATGACCACCTTTTATTTATGCAAAAATGATACCCCACTTGCCCTAGTAGTTATAATTTAGCAATTATGACGACCAACAGCGCGCGCAGCGTAAGAAAAGTTTACCCCCTCCCCCTCCCTCACAGCAGCGTATCTCCCGCTGCCTCCCGGGCGAATTCCATTCAGGTCCACCTAAGTAGCAAGTGTACCAAGTCTGGTACTTTAATGAAAAAAATATTGGTTCCCATATATTAAGTGCACATAACAACCCAACCCAAGTGTCATTGGCTGTTAATGTTCAAGGTTGGTATGTACTAACCCTGGTTAATGTCAACATTTATTTCTGTTCACAGTGCTGGATATTTCTACTTTACAATAATTTGGTGCCATTTTATATTTTTACTGTGTGTGTTTATCTTTAAACATAGCGCTAGGTTTGCCATCTCAAAACTCTGCCAACTAGAACAGGAAGCGCGAAAACCCCGCATTTAGGGACTATAAACCCGGACATATCAACTGAATTTGTTAAAAAATATTGTCTAAAGAAATAGTCATTGAAATTGTACTTTATTAACGAGCTCTTAGCGAGTTTATAATTTTGCGGTGTCTGTCCGTCCGTTAGCACGATAACTCATAAACGAATGGACCGATTACGATGAAATTTTTAAATTTTGCAAGTGGATTCTTTATCAAATTTGTAGATCGTAGTTCGTGAATTGGCAATGTAGCCAAAAAAATAAAGTAGGCCCTTTTGACATCTCCGTTAGTTATGAACCGAATTGCATGAAATTCAATATGCGCATAGCTTTAGCCATATAAAACACAATTCCAAAAGTTGAACCTAATCGATCAGCATTCACAGTGCCCTTTGCGCATCTGGACCATTTATAGACCGAATTGCAAACTTTCTTATTTATGAAGGTATTTAAATGAAATTTGATACATAGCCACTTGGAATAAAAGAAAATTTAACGCCAGTTCAAAATTTGGTTTTGCGCATGCGCGGTGCCAACTTTATTATTTACGGAAGCAAGTAAATGAAATTTCATGTATATACACTTTAAATAAAAGCAAAACTAACATCAGGTTTAAAATTTGGTATTGCACATGCTATAGCCATACCCAGGAGCTCGTTTGCTATATTTGTTTAATTTATTTTTATCAATGACTAGACTGTTTCAATATTCAATAAATTCCTTTCTTTGGTCCACTGTTTTGCCACTAGTGAAAATATTCTTTTTATTCACAATCGGTTAGTAATAAGAGTCATTCGTCTCATTTAAGAAGTTTGAAAGTCGGCCGTAACTAGATTATATTTATTACGAAGTTCGAAAGTATGAACTTCCGCGCTAAGGAAGAGAAGTATAGCTACTAATATCAGTCACAGATGGCGCACTAGATGAGATGAAGTTTTGAATCTCTGTTGCACCGTGACTCTCTCAGTGACCTCGGCACTGCGCAACCGTAAACACGCTAGAATTTGAATTTGCGTTACTGTTTAAGAGTAAGGGGTAAAGTACGAGTAAAAAATATACTCGTAATGGTAATATCATTGTTTATTCATAGGTATACAAACAAAACAAACGCTTGCCCGTAGGCGCGTTTTCGTTTTAAGTAAATTCATATTCAAAGCGGTTGCGCGTTGCTGAGGGAGTCACGGTACAATAGATATTCATGTCTAATTGGCTGTTGGTTTCCAGTTGGTTGTAATCATATATATAAGAGAAGTATATGGATAACCGCCTATGATTGCAATGTGCAAATTGTTCGCCATAATAGAGAGCTGCCCTATTCCTTAGTCCTGAACTCTGTATTTATGCGCAAACTCCCCAAGTAAATATTTACTTCTCTCCGCCTACTTTTAAGTAGCGCCAATTTCAAATTTCATAACCTATAACTCGAAAATAGGGTTAAAATTTTATTAAACCATTATTGTGTGCAATTACCATATGTAAACACAACCACGCACCATTCGGAAACTTCACCCAGACTTCTATTCGCTTCATGCAAGTTCATATTCACCACATTGGCCCCATTCCACCTGCCGACTCCTATCACTATTGTCTGATCCTGTGATGTCTTTAGATAAGTATACTAGCTGGCCGAGGCCCACCCTCCCAAGACCAATCGCCGCCGAAACGTTTCTTACCTGTTGACTATATCGCTTCGATTCCCCTACTTGCATCTTCACCGAGAGGGACGACGACAATTTGAATCTTCCCTTTTTTGTGCCCTCAACATTGTTTTCGGCACACAAGGATTCGGGACCTGCAGTCAATGGCCTACTTGAATGATTTCACTGCCAACTCAAATCAGCGCTCACGTGCCCCCCAGTGCGTTCTGGTTCAAAGTACTCCATATCGTTCTGCTTGGAAACTGTAGCATTTTCACGGAGAACTTTCGAGCTTCCTCAGCGGAGTTTGTTTACAGTTACACCCTTCAACTTCGAAGGCAAACTTTGTAACGATTTAGAAACTTAAATTGCAATTGAAATAATATACCTATAGGGATTATATCTTGAATATAACATGAAATTGGATAAGTTTGCATCAGCTATAATATAAAGTGATACATTACCAATGTTCAAAGAAACACAATTAAATTAAAGACATTTACTGATTTTAAAATAAAATTAACATTGTCGAGTTGGAAATCTTTTAGGTGTTAAGTGACCCCCATATAACTTCGTGCCCCCATCATGCTTGCGTGCATCCAAATCAATGCAGTCATAGCGGTTAAAATGACGAGAACACAACCTTGTTTTTACATCATCGAATTCCGATAGTTCACATGCTTGCAGTCACCGATTCTTGTTGCTTTTTTCATTTGGGAATCTAATAACAAGTAGGTATGGCATAAATGAATTGATTGCAGATAATTGCATTGTAACTTACTTGTGCCATATGAAACCGAAAAATCCACTTTCCCACAAGTACCTGCATTTCTTTATTTCTAAGTAATGAACACACTAAAATTGCCAAACATTAGGTATTCCATTACAATTATTGTGTATCACTTACGTATACTGATTTATATAACTACGAAAGGCTTCTTTACTATTAAAATTAAACAAAAGTTCAATAACTCATAAACAAAACAAACAATTTAACCTCAATCCGTTATGTCAAACTGGAGTAAATGCTTGGTAAATAACACTACATAATAACAGGCAAGCGCATTAGCGCCTAGTTCCCAACTAATGACAGAAGTATATTTCCATCCACTAACGTTGGCGATAGGCGTGTCCACTCGTTTATCCATATACTTCTCTTATATATATGGTTGTAATCATGGCCTAATAAGAGTATGGTCTGCTATTGCGCATAGTGCATTAGTCGGCGGGCGTTGATGTGACGTCACGCGGTTCTGAAACGAACTGGTGCCGGCAAAACTCCCATAATATTTCTATTTTTTGGCCTCATTGGTTATAACATTTGTTCAGATTATTATATACCATTGGAAAGCATATAAAATTATCTATCCTCTAGTATAAACACAGTTTTATAAAAATAAATTTTCGCGGAGTGAGAGATCCGATAAAACTGATACATTTTTTGAAGTTTTTTGTGAATAACTTTTAGCTCGACCAATTGCCGACGTCTAAACTATATGCATCTGATATATCTTTTTATTCCGCGTAATCTGATATATAACACATGTGGTTGTACCACTTGATTGGGTATATGAACGATTTTGAGGCTCTGCCGCCGCACTATAAGAATAAGTAAGAAAGCCTAACAATTACGGTGAACAGTTTTCATTCATAAAGTGCTTACGCCTAATTAGAGCTTATCTGCATATATCTACGTAACAAACTGTGTTGTATTACAAAAACAAAGTAAAAATCATTAGGATTTAATCTAAAATATGAACAAAACTTTTTATTCAATACCATGAACAAAACATTAATTCAGACTATTTACATATCAAAATGAATTGAACATATTCTAGCTAAAGTAAGGTATATTCAAGGTTAAGAGAAATAATTATGTCTTCAATAACGCATCTTACCTGATGATATATTTATTTTATCGTCTCTGCTGCAGCTATTTATCCATCGACTTTTAATATCATCTCGTTTAGGAAATCTATAATAACTTATGTCTTTAGTTTTTCTACTGTTGTTACTACAACCGTACACCGCACAATGAACCATTGTAATGAAGTAATTAATATTGTATTTACACGTCATGAAATGTAATACCGAAATGATTAGTGCAAATTCATTCTTATACGCGCGTACAATATTTCAGTGTACAGAACCGCGTGACGTCATGCGCGACTTGTGCGAGATTTCGTTCACGGGAATAGCAGACCATACTCTTATTAGGCCATGGTTGTAATCATGGCCTAACTCTTATTAGGCCATGGTTGTAATCAGGTTGTAATTCGTTAACCTCAAAATAACATTATCTTGGTAAGTTCATTATTGGATTAATAATAAAGTAAAATCGATCAAATTTACAGAAACGGACGTACCAATGCAGAAAAAATAACGGTTCTATTCACGGAAAGATACAAATTCAAGAACTACAATTGTTGAAATTAAAGGTTACATTGGACTGACCGCTGTTGTTTATAGTTACAATCAGGCCTTGTTTGGTCTGCTCAGTAGAAAAGTTTGTTTCTTGAGTAATAGACGCAACAGGAAAGGTTATTCGGGAGCAACTTGGGTATTGGAATGGAAGCATTAGGTTGTTCATCTCCCGTGACACTTGTGGATAACGACAAAATTCGCGCTATTCTCTCTTGGCCATGAAGAGACTGGTCAACATAACCACCCACAACCGATGCAGATTTCCACCCTCCCAATTGCTTTAATTGAAGAGTGTCTCCGCCGGCATTTGCTAACAGAGTTGCCACTGTTCAACGGAAACAATGCCCCGTGAATTTAACCTCGTCCTTCAATTTCAGAAATGATGCAATTTTTGCCAAAGTTAGTACTGTAATGAAAGTGGCTTTGTATGAACTTGTATCACTAGAAAGCATAATTTAATTAAATGTTTACGTCTTTGTCAAATACGTATTGTAGTTTTATTTAATAGCTATCTACTTACTTTCTGTGGTAAATAATCAAAACGTGCTTCATTCAAAAATCTCTCTACTTGATCCTGGCCAAAAACCTCCGACGTCTTTGGCTTGTATTCAACGTTTTGCGCCTTAATGAAGGCGATCAGATTATAAAATTTAGTGATATGTCTACGCTCTTATTTAAATTTAAAGTTGAGCGTAACATTGAATACGTAGCCCAAAGAGTTGAGGGTTTTTTAACCTTTAGATATTAATTCGTTAAAGTATGCCAATAACGAACTTTCAGAACCTATTGGAGTACGTTTCTCTAAACACCCAGGCCTTGTACAAATTGTAAGTTTGCTCGTATCGTTTTTTACTTTTATCTGGCAGTATACTTTTTGAAACTGTCTCTGCAACTTCTCGTAACTCAGGGGGGGTACTTATAATCTCCTCTGAATCAGACATTTTCAATTTTAAATTCAAATTTTCGTAAAAGTACGGCCGCGTAAAATGAAACAATTGACGGATGTTTGACAATTGTACGAACTGATGTGACATTTTTCCACTAATGAGAATAAAAAGCAAAATTTAAACAATTTATTTAACCTTTTTGTAATTTCTTACGATTGTGAATAAAATAGTATACGAACCTCGCGCGAAAGATTATTTCTCTCAGAATAAAACTGCCCTCGGCGCAAGCGCCTCGGGCAGTTAACATTCTTCGAGAAATAAGCTACTTCCGCGCTCAGTGCGTAATATACTTATTCAACGGTGGCATTATGAGCAGGAGTGCAAAAAAAAGCTCTAGGCAATTTTCAATAACTCCAAGTATAAATGAAGATTCGATGTTTAAAAAAATTGTAACCAAAGCTGACTGGCGCTTAAAAGTTTATCTTGTTGGCTTAAATTTTGACAGAAACTTGATGGCCTAAAACCCGGACTACCAATGAAACCCCGCCCGGACGCTCCCGGACGCCTCCTAAACTAGGACAAATCCGGGGAAACCCGGACGGATGGCAACCCTACATAGCGCCAACCTTCTTATAATGAGTGCACTATAGTCCCTCAATAAGTGAGAGACAACTGTTTTTTCAAAAAAATTTTTGTCTTTGTCCAAGAGGTGTTTCCGAGGGTGTTTCACTCCCATAATACATGTAGAAAAGATCCTGAAAACGCACCAGTCGTAAATGTCAGTACCTAATTAATCTCTTGCAGTCTCTAGCAACCGCAGATAAATATTTACAATTTTACAAAATCTACCTGCAGTCAGGCGCAATTTGTAATATTAGCAGACACCAATTTGATTTTGCGTAGAATAGCTGACCAATACACATTTTAGTAAGAGAGAACCTTTGCAAATACGTTTCCAGGAGAAATATGATACTATTCAATATACAAAAAAAATCTATTTTTAGTGCATGTTCCAACTCATGTTGGAAGGCGCCATTATGACCAATTTCTCCGTCCGTCCGTCCGAGGCCTTAACTACTCCTACAGTTTTCAGTTTGTTCTTTTTGAATTCGGTAGCTTATAGCCCTGACACCGAGTCAAAAAAGATCTTGACCATTAATGTGCGGGTGCGCATTTTATATTGGGTAATATATTTTGTTGAAATTTTTACCATAGATGCTTCTAGTAAAAAAAACATAGTTCACATAGCTATGGCCTTTTGGGACATACTTATCAATGCATGGAAAATGCCCTAAAGTAACTCGCCTTAGGACGAATACCTTTTCTTTTAATTTTTTATATTTATATACTGAATTCAGATATAAAATGTTTATTTCTCGGTTTGTTTATTCCTGAAACATCGTTCATAGGTTCTATGGGTTGTTTTTTTACATTTACATTACAAATGGTCCTAGAGTCCTGGAATTTTTTGCAGTAGGTAGCCTATACCTCGAAGGTGTGCCAGACGGTCATCAAATTTCGCTGTTTAAAAAGGGGGCCCCCCCACGAATTATTTCCTGAGATGCTGTTTTTGAAAGTAAAACTTGCATAACTTTTACATACGACAACCAATTGGTCTCAGATTTTGCATACGCATGCCTTCAGTGGTGTCAAGTTAAACTTTAAAAAATGGGGGGGGGGGGGTAAACACATGTTCTACCCTTCATGGTATTCTAATGAAAGGTCTCATCGAAATAAATTGGTTTGTACAAACTATAACTTTCCCGTCCCGTTTTCGAGATCAGTGAGCGACGGGGCCTGGGGGAGGGGGGTTAAAAATTAATTTGATCTCTTATTGTAATCTAATTAAAGGTCTCAACGAAAGGAACAGTTTTCTACACACTACTGCCCTTCTTTCTGTCCTCTTGTCAAAGTACGGGATGGAGGGGGGGAGTTTTATCCTTCATGGAACTCCCACACCATAGTCCTCCTCAACCAGTTATCATGGTCTGTTGTTATTGCTTATACTTTAAGAGCAGAAGGGGGTACTCACAAAGGGCGATTAGGACGTTTGGAAAAATGTATTCATTGATGATTTCAAAACTTTAAGAGCGAATATCTCAAAAACGGTTTGTCGGAAAGTAGTCACAAAGACCAAACGAATCGTCTGGATAAATGCGTGTTTTTTGTATGACTAGGATAGTTTTATTTTTACTTAGGTAAAAAAAACACTGCCCATCTCTGCATAACCTTTACAATTCTATAAGTTCTTGAATTTTTTTTAATTCTAATCCAAATACCAAAAAATTCATACAAATTCGATTAAGCAGGACGCACATTATCGCGGAATGAAATGGATCGGAATGGAATGGAAATTCTGAATCTCCGCACATTAGCCCGGAATTTCGCGGAACAAAATTATTTGTATATAAGAGTAATTTATATTACCAGACTTGCTTGATCCTGTTTGTAGGGTGTAATGTTCTTTCGCAGTGGACACGTCAGATGAAGAATTTGTAGTGCTGTGTGTAGTTTGAATTTGAAGCAAGAAATGAGAGAAAACAAAAAAACGCAAATTTGTATCGCATGACAAATATAGATGTGGATAACCATATAATATAACTAAATATAATTAATTAAAAATTCTTCATTCATTTCAATAATCAAACAAACACAAAATGGCTACGGTATATTGTCAAATGTCAGAGCTATTTTACTCTATTTCCTGTAGGATGAAACAGCTTTGTACGCGCCTTCGTCTAAACTAAACGAAGAGTGTGGAAAAATTCGTTGAGTGAGCAATCCAAGTCTTTCCATTCCGTTCCAATCCATTCCGCGGTGTTCTGATCCGCGATAGTCTGCGAACTCTAACTTATTTATATGTTTTCAAAATTTCCGTTCCGTTCCATTCCCTTCCATTCCGCGATAGTGTGCGTTCTGCTTTATGGCGTGTTTTAACGGCTGGGACATTAACGTTATGCAAATTTTTTTTTAATCGATTGATTTTTTTTATATTGTCGTGATCATACATCACGGAGCGCCATGTTTAACTTGCTTTCCTGCATTGGCGACCGAGGAACCATAGAACCAGGCATTTGGATACAATTTTTTTTGGAAACATTGTATTAAGCGCGCATGTAGGTTTGTCAATCCAATGGCAATTAATGAATTTGTTTTCATGAACACACAAAAGGCACTTATTTACATTTCTCTTTTTTGTAGGGCTATCAAGAGAGTAACCCTGTTCAACATCCAAAAAAGAAGTTGGATCAAAGAAACGAGAGTCTATCTAAAAACGTCAAACCGTTTTCTTTTTCTTCAATTGAATGGCCAGCACTTGGCACACCTTCTTCTACAAGAAGCGAAGCTGATACCGAGGTTGATACGTTAAATTTTTCACCTTTGGCTAATGCTGTAACAATCTTGCAAGATCCGAAAGTTAGGAAAAAATGTGACAATACTACACCTAGTCAAACCACACAAAAAAAAAATATGAAGAATAAATTGATATTGGAAACAGTACTTCGATCTGATGATAGTGACTCGCTAAGGATTACTGCAAAAAGATTACAAAATTCGTCGTCGCTCTTCAATGATGTCAAAAATAGTAAACTGATAACTAAGGCTAAGACTAAAGCACTACAATCAACAAAAGAAAGTCCACCACTTTTTGAAAATAGGAAAAAAGCTGGGCCCGGCGAAAATTTCAAGTTTCAAGCTGAGGACACTAATAATAAACCTACTGTCACAAGCATTTTGGATAACATACATACTATAAAAAAAACTCGAAAGCGTAGGTCCAAAAGGAAGAAGGGCAGTATTTCTAAACAAGTTGACAACAACAAATCCAATCCAATAGCATTTAACTTATCATCCTTAAAATGGCCATCCCTTAACGAATTAATAGATGAAAACAATACACAGCAAAAGTCTGCAGGAAATCAACAAACAAAAATAGACAAGAATCAAAAATTAAGAACTGGTCATGAAATAAAATTGGAACAAAATGTAACCTGTACGAAACTGGATGATTGCCAACTCAAAGGAATATTGAAACCACATGCGGGTAGTGATTGTCATGATGAACTGAAGAATGGTTTCTGGTTCTTGGACATTGCAGAATCTGATTGCAAGAGTATCAAGAAACATTCTGACAACCAGACTCCAAAGATAACAGAACCTCAAGTACAAAAGCTAAATCTATCCAAATTGGGTGATAAACAATCTACTCGAAGGAAGTCGGAAAATGGAGAACAACCTCATCAAATACGTGAAGTGGCAGTTGAAGGTATTAAACGTTCGAAGAGACGTCGTAGAAAAAAGGGACCAAGCGTTAATAATTTGGTTAACACAAGTCCCACCTTGCCACATGAAGACGACAAATGGCTAAACGATACTCTTTGTCAGGAAATGGGTTACAAAACAGAGGACAGTGCAGTAATCGAAGTGAAAGGGCAGCACAAGAAAAAAGGGGCGAGTGAGATTTCTGCTACGAATTACAAACTCACCACCTTATTGTCTGAAATAGAAAAGACTCCTGATATTGTTGACATTAATAGAGAAATCACAGTCAACTGTTCGAGACAGGAACAGAACATTATCATCATTACCAGTTTTCTCGGAAAGAGCCAAGTTTCTAAATCGATTATTCCTTGTTCGTCTTCTAATAACCGCACACTGCAGAAGAATAAAACGAGAAAACATAAAACCCCAACCCAGAAAACCGTTGAAAGTAACAAATGGAGAGCGGATCAAGATTTGCTTTTACTTGAAGACTTCTTACCAACCTTTAATCGAACGCCTGACAATATGGAAGGCAACTCTGTAATTCCCTTGAATAGTTTCGTAACGGGCGGGCGAGATTTTTTTTTATTAGATAAACTATTTCCGCAGAGCTCTTTTTCGATACATGCGAAACCACGTTTAGCTATGTCGAACATGTTTCTACATTTTTATACCGGATACAAAAATGATATTGAAATTTTAATGTGATAAATTATTGTTGTTACCTTACAGCCGTCAATTAGGCTACAATAATAAATGTGTGATAAAAAACCACCATTTTAATAGAACTAACATTTTTACTTGTGTTATTATATTCTTATTTTTTCTATTACAATTGTTGGACAATTTTATGATAATAAAGAATTTTATATATGTGCACAAGTTCATACAAGATGAAAATATTTTTACTGACAATTCAACTCATGTATAAAAAATCGCATAAGCCGCAGTGCAATTGTCACTTTGACAGCGGCAAAAGTTACCTGCAACTTTTACAGCGACAAATGCACTAGTGGTTTTTTCACTTATTCATTTTGGAACAATTATTGCATTATCCTTTCCCATATGATTAGCTTGACGTCTGTCAATAATTGACTAGTTTGGTGAATTTCTTGTTCGTTAAATTGTCCTGCCGAATTACACTCGAGGTTTGTATTTAAACCGAGTAAATTTGGGTTGTTGCAATTCAAATCTGTTTCCTTTTAGCAATTGAACTCGAAAAACTGTCAACCTAAAAATGCTCCACCTTCGGTGTCGCATTTTTATTAGTTGACAGTTTTTCTCGTCTAATTGCTAGGCAACAGATTTTCATTACCTTAACAACCCAAATTTATTCGGTAAAATACAAACCTCTTGTGCAATTATAAGTGAAAATCGTCACGAAACCTTCATTTTAATTCCAACTTTGTCAGGAAAGTTCAGGTTCTATGAGAGACAGTTCAGACCGCTTTTCCTGTCGCCTGTCACTTTATCGCCTGCACCTGTCACATTGCTATAAATGTCTGTAAGGACACCTGTCAACACTGACAGATTGACATTAGTCAAATGTTCTATATGAAAATTGAAATATGATTTCGGGTAAAATTTAATGCAAAACTAGTCAATAAAATGACATTACTTGACTAGGAGGTTTGTCTCCTGTACTTCAATATTTCTTCTCCAATAAATTTTTATTAGACTATTTTACGCGGAAAATAATGCGAATCACGTACGTATTAGTGATGATTTGTTCGATATTTTTAAGGTTACAAGTCCGGTGACCTTGGCGGCCACGGTACGTCACCAAAACGTGAAATCAGCTTTACAGGAAACATGTTTCTCACAACTTCCATTGATGCGCGAGCAGTGTGCTGCTCCATTGCTACTGAAATGGTAAGCTGCAATGGAGTGAATGACGTACCGTCCGTCGCCCCACCACTTACCGAAGGCATGCACTAGCCATTTCAAAAACATCCGTCTCCCGTAAGTCACCCTGTATATCTAAAAATGTGTTAAAATAACGTCTTAGGCGACCTAAGAAGAAAGTTATATTTACAAAAATCTTTCAACTTTATTTGGTATTTTAACAAAAAATAATGCTGCACAATTTATACAAAAACATTCATTCCATATTGTGATATACAAAGTGTCTAAGTACAACACTATTTTATATTACACCATAATTAAACTATGATCTTGAAAAAGAAATGCTAGCTCAAAGACATTTTAAATAATTACAAAGAATTAGAAATAAAGAAAGCAGTGATACCCCTAAAAGAACCACAGCCATGGTTCGTTTTATCTCATACTCCTCCTGGATAATACGTTTAATTGCATACTTATTTCTTTGAGATTTGCATATATTAATTCTTCTAGATATGCGGGTGTTAGCACAAAAACGTAGTTTCCATGCGTTATTAACAGGCGCTTCCAATCTAGGATTAACGTAATGTACCTGATGTTGACTGCTATTTATACTTTTTGGCAAAAAAGCATGTGTGCTAAAATTTGTTTCCTTTGCTTTATCCGAGATGTCATCAACTATGTGTTGTGTATTATTGTGCTGAATGATGGTTCTATTTAGATTTTTTGTCTGATAAAAATCAGCAATCCAGGAAAGAAAAGGTTTTCTATCGCTTTCACTTGGTATATTATCTGTTATGCTCTCGTCACGTTTTGAATTAACATTGATTGTATTCTTTACCTTTGTGTTTTGTTTACTATGTGTTCTAATGCATAGGTTATTTCTTACTAAATTATTCACAGGTTTTGCTTCAGATGTTTGTTGGTTGTCAATTATACTATTCGTTTTTTGGTTATTTAGCAGACTGCTGCTGACACGCAATTGATTCCACTGGTCTTGGGGGAATTTTTTCTCATGCTTCAATAATATAGCTTCATTGTTTGCTCTGGCTTTGGTTTGTGTCTGGTTATTTTTTTGCTTATCTGACTCGTTTACAGTTTTCATGGACGCCTTTTCTGATTCTCTATACTCACTGTTATCAAGGGACTGTAAAAAAACCAAATCAAAATAAGATGAAGAAATGAAATGCTTATAGTGCGCATAAATTACACGATGCGCTGTGTTCTACAAGGAGACATCTTTAAAATAATTTTAAATAATAAATAAGCAATAAATAAAAAATTTGTGGGAAATACAGTAATTGAAATATTTAAATCAAGCGTTTGACTAATAAAAATGGTTGTTAAATAGGTAGAACAAAAGAGCTTTCATAAGCATTCCCATGCAAACACCTTAATTGTTTAGTACATTAATGCAAAGGCATTGATGCGTACCACAACAAACAAGTTATGGTAAAATCAAATGAAATTGGCAACAATTAATTAACTCTATACCTATTTTTAGTTGTTAGTTTCCGTGAAAGAAGTTACCAAAGTTTCCACCATGCACTTGCTCCAACATTTTCAATCAACAGATGGAGGTAGGCTGATCAATTTCTCTCCGAGTGACTATACTACTACAAAGAAGTCATAGTAGTTGTAAATTAAGAAGGGAGTTCAAACAGTTACAAACAACAACAACGCATGCATGATATGCCAATATACATTTATACAATTTGCAATGTTTAAATTTTTGGCTTACAATGTGCACTGTATGCTGTATGAACCGTCAACTGTAGTTCAGTCATACCTTATATATACAGGATGACATATTTGCCAAGCACAGCATTGGGATTTTGGCTCGGATTTTGGAATAGACTTTTTTCTTCAAAAACGGATACTTTTATTGAATATTCTTACCCTACACCGGAAAATAATAAACTTTTGGTTTTTCCCTACACATACTATTTTTTGAAGCCGTTCTGTAAGGAATTTGGCACATTTTTTATGAATAGTAAGGGGATTTTGGATGGATGTGTGCGTCGGCGCGCGAAATCGTAAGCACGATCCCGTCACGCAGTGTAAACAAATAATTATACAGGCGTTAGTAAAGCTAGGAAAAGTGAGAGAAAGTACAATATAAGTGTCTAAAGTGTGGTGAAGTGACCAACACTAAAAAAAAAAAAATAGACTAACTGGATGAACTGTAAGTACCTAATATAAATTTAAGTACCTATAACCTATACGTACATACAACATAACAAGCGCGTTAAATAGTCGACCGGCTATCAGCTGACAGATAAGAGTTGTTTATTTACGTACGCGTATCTATATCGAATTCAAGAATGGAAAACTTGCTAGCGGATATCAAAAAGCAACTGGAAGATTTAAATAGAACGTCGGAATCGAAAGCAAAATTGATGACTGCCAGAAGCAGATAAACGAAATTAAAAATGAGAATGCTAATTTGAAAGCGGAAAACGAGCAGTTGAAATCAACGGTCGCACAACAAAACTATAGAATTGGATATCTGGAAAAAGAGATCAAAAGAAATAACCTGGTAATTCAAGGTGTAACGGAGGCAGACGACGAAACGAATATACAACTAAAGGAAAAAATGGAAACCATACTAAGAGACATGGGAACTCCGATAACTTTCGAAGCCGAAATCCAAGAACTGCATCGTATAGGAATAAAACACGCAAACAAAACACGACCCATATTCATGAAAATGCGAAACTATGAAACTAAAGTAAAGGTAATGAAAAGCACAAAAGAATTAAAAGGTACACAAATCTATATAACAGAAGATTTTCCAAAACATGTTATGGAGGAACGAAAAGTATTGAGCAAGCACTTAAAAAAGGCAAGAGAAATGGGACATAGAGCTTTCATGAAGTACAACAAACTAATCGTAAACGGAGAAGAATACGGAGTAGAAGATATCTTTGAAGAATCAAGCAATGAAATACCTGAACAAGATGCCACGAAGAAAGGAAGAACGATCAGTCAAAGGTCCCCTCAGAGCGTGGTTTCTAAGAGGACGAATAGCATGGGTTGTCTACTAAAAAACTGATACATAACGAGCAACACAGTACAAAGGAGACGACACTGGCAATGAATAAAGGTAACGAGATGGAACAAATAAATCTATGGAAATTCGGAACATGGAATATACGAAGCATAAACGGAAAAGAGGAAGAGTTGATGAGAGAATTTAAACAAGAGAAACTAGATATTATAGCAATATGCGAAACAAAGAAGAAAGGACGAGGAGCCATTGAGATGGATGAGGGAGATGTACTCCTATATAGCGGCGTAAGCGAGGAAACGAGAGCAAGAGGGGGGGTAGCATGTATAGTAAGTGCACGGCATGCAAATAAACTAATCCAATGGGAATTTATTAATGAAAGGATGCTAAAACTACAAATAAAATTACATCAAAAGGACCACACAACAATATTAATAGCATATGGACCAAATGAAGACGAAAGCGAAGGTAAAAAGGATGAATTCTGGGAAGCACTCTCGGAAAATACGGAAAATATTGCAGAGAGGCTTATAATCATGGGAGATCTGAACAGCAGAGTGGGAAAAAAGATGGAGGGAACACCAGATGTAATCGGCCCTTATGGCGAAGTACACCGAAATAAAAATGGAGATAGATTAATTAACTTTTGCGTAGAAAATAACCTAATAATAGCAAACACATACTACAAACACAAAGACATACACATGTACACAAGAGAGGCGCAAACTAGGGGAGAGAAGTCAATAATAGACTATGTGCTAATAAAAAGAGAATATAGGCACGAAGTAATAGACGTGAGAGTGAAAAGGGGCCCAGACATCTATAGCGACCACTATCTAGTAGAGGCAAAGCTACGAGTCAGAAACCAGATGCAAATAAAGCAAAAACATAGACCACATCCGCAACAGGTACATGAGAAGATAAGAACGTATAAATTAATGGATAAAGAAACTGGAAACATATATACAGAAAAAATAGAAAAACATTTACTAGAAACTAGGCATGAGTGGCGAAACATGGACCTAAAACATATATGGAAATATTTTAAAGAGATAATACTATCGACAGCAGAGGAAACATGTGGATCAATAAGGATAAGAAAAAATAAAAAACAAACAAGCTGGTGGAATCAATCTATACGAGAAGAGGTAAGGAGCAAGAAAGAAAAGTGGAAACAATATCTGATACGAAAGACGGAGGAAAGCTATAGCAAATACAAGCAACAACGAGTAAAAGTAAAAAACATGATAATAGAGGCAAAACGACAAGCCTGGATGGAGTTCGGTAATAAAATGGAAAAAGACAGTAAAACCAACCAAAAACTCTTCTATAGGGTATTAAAAAGTATGAAGAAACCTAGGGAATACAAAACCATGCACTTAAAGGACAAAAACCACAAAATAATCACAGACCAGGGAGAAGTAATGGAAAGATGGAGGGAATACTTCCAAGAACTACTTAGCAATAACAGACAACAAGACACTACAAATAAACATGTAAGAAATGAGGCAGTAATAGAAGAAGAGGCGGATGCCATAACAATGGAAGAGGTTATACAGAGAGTAAAAGCGCAGAAAAAAGGGAAAGCAGCAGGACATGACAAGATAGCACCGGAAATGATACAAAAATTAGGAAAAAACGGAATAGAAATGCTCACCACAATTTTAAATAAAGCTTGGCAAAGAGGAGAAGTGCCAGAGGATTGGAGAATAGGAGTGATAATCCCGATACACAAAAAAGGAGACACAAAGGATTGCTCAAACTACAGAGGCATAACCATCTTAAGTAACGTCGCAAAAATATATGAAGGGGTCCTAGAGAACAGATTGAAGCAGCAAATCGAACACCAACTAGACAATGCACAAAGCGGTTTTAGAAAAGGCAGAGGTATACAAGATCATATATTCACCATCAAACAGATAATGGAAAAAATTATGGAATACAACAAACAAATATGCTTAGCATTCGTGGACCTGGAAAAAGCTTTCGATAGAGTTCCGCAAAGATTAGTGTGGGAAAGTTTAGAAAGAAGAGGAGTTAATGCAAAGTTAAGAAGGGGAATAAGAAGCCTGTATACAGAGAATAGGAATTATGTACGTAAAAACAACACACAATCAAAAACTTTTAACGTGGAAGACGGTCTGCGACAAGGAGGCGTGCTTAGCCCAACACTATTTATAATAATAATGGATGACGTTATTAAAGAGGTGCGTAAAACAGTAAAGAAAGTGCAGGTAGGGTATAATAAACTACAACCGGTAGAAATAAGTGAATGTGTGTTCGCGGACGATTTAATGATATGCGCGAAAAGTGAACGGGACTTGCAAATGAACTTAGGGGCATGGAAAGAAGAACTGGAGAAGAGGAACATGAGAATCAATTGTAACAAAACGAAAGTCATGGTAATTGGAAAGGAGAACAGAAGCATGGACATAGAAATTGGGTCAGACAAAATTGAACAGGTGGACGTATATAAATACCTGGGAGTACTGATACATAGAGACGGCAGCATGGATGCAGAAGTGCAGGACAGAATTAGCAGTGCAGCAAGATTATATCACGCGCTAAGGAACAAATTCATCTCAAAAAGGGAAGTCAGTGACAAAACTAAAATGACAGTGTATAAAACAATATATCGGCCAATACTAACATTCGGGAGTGAAACGTGGAACATAACAAGCGCAATAAAAAGTAAAGTGCAAGTAATGGAGATGAAGTTTTTAAGAAGGATAAAAGGAATAACAAGATACGACAGAATAAGGAATGACACAATCAGAGAGGAACTAGGAGTGGAAACGGTAATCCAGACAATAGAAACACAGCAACTAAGATGGTTCGGTCACTTAAACCGGATGGACGACAACATTCCAGTCAAACGTATATGGGAAGCCAAAGGCCAGGGCAGAAGGGGAAGGGGACGACCTAAGAGAACGTGGAACCAACAAGTGGAAGCAGTTTTGGATACAAGAGGAAAAACATGGATGGAGGCAAAAACGCTGTCCAGGAACAAGACACTGTGGAAAATGCTTTTGAAAGAAAGGTATCCCCAACCACAGGAATAGATCTAACTTTACAATGTATCAAATAAGTATTGTAATTATGAACACCTCACACTCCAGGGTAAGAGGTTTTTTGATTATATATATATATATAAAATACACGAATTGGGTAACCTAAATAGGGAAAGATTTGCAGGTTTACATCCCTCACTCTGCTCACCCTTTGTTTCTCAAAAAATATTCATGCTTTGTTAAAAATCTTTTTTTTATACAGGGTGTTCTAATATTATGTTGTAAAAAACATAAGTTTATTTTATAACAAACATATACATATTACCTTAAATTAAAGTAGGCCATATTATTGACAGTTCAATTATCTTTAATTTTTGCATTTATACTATTTACGGAGAATTAAATAAAAATATTTAGCAAACCATCTTACAGAGATATCAGTTTTTGAAAATCTATAAGACCGCGATGCTGTGCACAGTAAATAAGTCACTTTTTATATAAGCGTTTGGCAGAATTTACCAAGCCAAAACTAAGAAGCACCGAATTAGTGGACAGTACCTACGAGAAGTAAATTAGTTTTCCCAATTTGTAATTCACTCTGTGAAGAATAGTAAAAATGTATAATTGAACAATAATAGAAGGTCAAATATTTAATCAATTTGATAAAAATTACTGATGCTACTTACATGGACCAGAAAACTTTGCTCATTTCCCAATTTTTGAATCACATTTTTTTTTCTGCTTATATCATCGACATTATCTTCCCCCTGTTGAATTTGAAGTGGCACCCCAGGTTTTTCTACAGCGGAAAGACTATTTTTGTAAAGGCCATATCGAGAATTCTTTTTCGATACAACCTCTTGAAAGGCCTCTATTTTTATAACATGATAGATACTGTGGTCTATTAGAACAGGTGGAGGTTTGTTCTTTTCGTAAACTTCGTCAAAGTCACTTTGGTCGTCGCTACTGTAATTGTCTGAATTGTATCCCGCATGTACTCTGTAGGCATAATTTTCTTCATCGTAACTAGTGTTCATTTTACAAGCTAAACTGCACGAGTGTAGCGCCTTGTTTACTGCTGCCTTTGAACCAACAACTAACCTAAAAACATGCAACAATCATAACAATTGATTGCCATTGCTTTTAAGTGGATATATGACTCATGCGAGTAAAGCCGACAAGTTTCTTGCACCACAATATGCTATCGCATTATTTCATTACGCCTTATCAGACCTGTAATACCCCACACGAAAAACAAACAAACATTTTTGTTTACATATTTGTTTATGTTGCAACAGTCAACACATCGCATTACGCATGAGCAGTGAGCACCCCCATTTAAACAAACGTGCTCCGTCTCGTGGAGCATTTGTGTATACCAAAATACGAATCATTGGTGTATACTGTACCATTGATTAGATACACATTTGTATAGTACCATTGAATTAATAGGATAGTTATAAATTCAATGTAAATTAATAAACAAAGATAGTACTTACCAATGAGATTTTTACCTTGTTTACATGTATACCCTACAGCCTGTTTCAAATTAAGTCGACACTATTTCGAACTTTCGTGTTTGTAGCTTTGTTTATTTAATATTTCAGGGGGCGATAATACTTCTCAAAATAAGAAAAAAATACAAATATGTGCGTGATGTACCTAGGTAAAGGGCGTAATTTTCATTTTACAGGGTAGCAAACTTTCAATTTTTCTCTCGTATTTTGCGTTGTCTTTCTTATGTTCTGGCTTAATTGTTTGAAATTTGATACATCAATTATTTTTTAGAACCTCTACAATAAGGTATCAAAATAGTTGGCTGTGGTATACAGGGTGTTGCATTTTCCTTGCCACTCTGTATAACGAAGACGACGCCTTTTAGACCATGCATATACAGGGTGTCTTAAATTGAGTAGGATAACATGACTATCGTTGTTATTAATTACTATTATACTTACAGCTTCGGTTAAATTGGCAAAGTTGTGCAGTTTTTAATGTTGATGGATATGCGATATTTAATTCGTTTCGTAGACACTATTTTTTTATTGGAAAAAAGTGAAAATCGCCATTTTCAAAGTTGAAATATTTGAGTAACAAATAGAGAGACAAGAAAATTACAAAACAGTGATACTAAACAGTTAGTATTTAATTTGGGAATCAACCTTGCATTTTTGCCTCGAAGTTTACAATGTAATTCTTATGGAAATAATTCCATGGCTGATTAAGATTGAAACCAAATTCATTCGTTTATTGTCTCGCATAGTCACCATCGACCATGGAATTATTGCCATAAGAAATACATTGTAAGCTTCAAGGCAAAAATGGTTGATTCCCAAATGAAAGTCAGTCTTTGGTATCACTGGTTTTTAAATTTATTTCACTATCGAGTGATGTAAAAATCCAATTTAAAATTAACCTTAAAATTAAGCATAACTAAAATACCATAGCAACGATTGTATTAATAATCGTTGCCATAGATTTTAAGTTCGACTTAACTTTAAGCAAGGCTTAATTTTGATGGTGCAACTGGGCATAAGCTAGGCTTAAGCTAAAATCAGCTTAAATTTTTTCGGTGCATACGGCCATAAGAGAAGGAAAGAGTGAGGAGTGATAATAATGATCATAAAGTTAAGCCCAAATTTGTTTGTTATTTCACCGAAAACTAATCTATCTAACTTCCGTGCACTAACAAAGAATGTACCATTGTCCAATAATGTTTTGAATCGCACACTTCGAGACTTAAGGATCGCATAAACACGAAAATGCAAAAAAGTAAACAAACTTTGGCTCCAAAAATAGCGCCGCCACAGGTTTCAACGTGCAGCATTGCCCTTGATAGGCATGATACTACATGCTTGATAGCATATTAGCAGTCCCCTTTCTTTCATAGTCCAAGGTTCCACCCTTAAGATCATGTTCCATCCATATTATATAAGTATACAGTGAATTTTTTTAAAATGCGAACATAGGAGTTTGCATGCAATGTAATTTCCCTATGTTCGATTTAAAAAAAAACACATCAATCTATTGAGTAGTTCAAATGAGTAGTAGATACAATTGACAGCTGTCACATTTTTAAAAATACCACCGTCCAATTTAATTACGAAATCGGTTAGGTTATTGCTTAGAATGTCAAGGAGGACACTTCGAACATTTATTGTAATTATTTTCGGTATTTATTTTCTTATTTTCTTCATTTATGTATTGAATAGATCAAATTAGTAGAATACCAGGTGCACATGACCTACAAATAATTTAAGGTTGGTTCACAATGAGTTGTGGTGTCAGTGCGTGGCCTGTGAGGTCAAGTTATCGTAAGTTTAAGAAAAATGTATCCTAAAGTTGCTATGGCCTCACATGGCTTCTTTAAAAAAATCTTACCGAGTGCTCTTCATCATAAAGTCTATAGAGTTGCTATTCATAGTCACACAAGTTGCGCGATTTGAGAATGTGAACCGCGCACACTTCATAGATTGATGTGTTTTTTTTAAAATCGAACATAGGGAAATTACATTGCATGCAAACTCCTATGTTCGCATTAAAAAAAACTCACTGTGTATTTCATATAACTCTCGCCAGGAAAGATTGCCGGTCACAGAACACTTGATCCCAATCTACAATCTCTGTTTTTCGCAAGGTGCTAGCGACTTCCGGGATAGTATCGTGTCAATGTTGAACGAAAAGAGTTTTTGTTCAACATTAGCACGATCCTATTCCAGAAGTCGCTCGTATCTTAATAAAAACAAAGATTGTAAATCGACACAAGGTGTGCTGTGACCGGCAATCTTTCCTGGCGAGAGTTATATATGGTATGGTTCCACCTTCCGAGTAGTTCACATTACTAATTGTAGTTCTTATGAACTCAGGGGTCTAAACACGCTACGAATTCAAATTCGCACTACTTTCAGTTTCACATTAACCTAAAAAATATAGGGTCTTGCACTGGATCTCGGATTAGTTAATCCATATATATAAGAGAATAATCTGAGCACTGGATATATATGATCTTGGATCAGACACTCCAGGTCCACAGATAAATATTTCAACATGACTCAGAGTGGAGTAAAGAAATGTGTTGGAAAGGACATATTCGAAAGAATGAATTACTTATTACAAGTAAGTCGTTTTAGGACATGTTACCATTTTCAAGGTGTCAATGTCAATTTTTTACATAATTTACGTGTCTTATTACTGAAATATTAATGAAGAAGGAAATTTTTTCAGTTAAGCAGTATCGCGAAGCCAGAAGCCTCAGCTTTGTATTCGCACTTACTGATTAATGTTTCTCAGAAGGCTGTTCAAAGAATGTAAGTTCAAGTCTTCTGTCGCTTCGGCTATTTACCACGTAATTACTTTAGGGAACCTGAAGTGAAACGGTCTATATGCAAAAGATGTCACACACTCATGATTCCAGGAGTTTCTGCTCAAGTACGCATACGTAAAAAGCAGTTGAGGTGGAAATGTGGTAAGTGTTTGGCCACAAAGGTGTTCAAAACAAATCCCGAATACAAATTATGGATTGATCATAAAGAAGCGGTTGTTGAAACTTTAAGATACTAAAGTGTAATAAAACGCATAAGTTAAACAAGAGTTATATTATTCTTTGAGCATTAAGATTCTTAAAATACAACAAGATAACTTAACATTTTGTTAGTTAAAATAAAATCAATATTAAAAGGTACAGCATTGGTGTAGCACAAATTTAACAATGATATGATTTCTGTGCCTAGTTAGATATGCTAAATGTATGGCAATCAGTATGTAACTACAGTTTGGCAATACATGCTAGGCAGTAACAAAATGAAAACTTCACCTTTTGTGGGATAAATCTTGTTTGTATAGTGGTCGAACTATGAGCACTTGACAATGACGTAGATAAAACTATGAAAATATCTAGTAGCTTAATTGATACGAATTTTGTAATTATTAAGATGTATGAAATATTGTAGATTCGATTAGAAACAACATAAAATAAAGTTTACTTAAAGATGATGCCAAATGTTTCTTCATTTACTTACAGTTAATGGTCTGAAACGCTGCAAATTGTGTCATTATGGTACAGAACATTAAATGGAGTGATACATTATACACACAGTCCTGTCAGGTGTTGCAAAAGTGGCATTGTTTGTACGCGAACGCACTGATTACGGTCGCGCCGCCATTGAGCATCAACCTCTGATATAACTTTCGATTAAAATTGATCAAAATCGGAATTTGAAAAATTCCAATTATTTTTATTTACATACCTACTTAATTTTTTGTTTTAATAGTGCGCTACGTACGTACCTACAGGGTGTCCCATTTTTGATACTTTTATAAGAGAAGTTGCTAGTGGTATCAAAAAAGTAATATATAGGTGTTATGTGTAATTTGAAAATATTCGCTTGGGGGGAAATCAAAAAACTGTCGATTTTGCAATGACCCCGTCGTTTCTTAGTTAAAAGAGATAGAGAAAATGTTTGTTACAAAACTTTGTTGAATAATTTGCCGATTTCAAAATAAGTATACTTACGGGGCCATGTAAAAAAGTTATGACCTAACTTCAATTTTTAAATGGAACACCCTGTATTGTTTCAATATTATTAAGATCTTACAAAAATTTAAAAAAATCTGTTTAACATTTTTTGTATATTTTTGAATATTTTTTAATATCCCTGGTGTGTTATATGTTTGAACAGAGAATCTAATATACTACCTTTTTAGATTAAAATACATAGGGTCTTCTATTTAAAAAATGAGGTTACTTCTGATAACTTTTTTATCTAACCCGTATACTTATTTTGAAAACGGCAGATTATTGAAAAATCATTATAAAGAAAGTTTTGGAATAAATATTTTTTTTAATCTCTTCTAACTATGAAAATATAGGGTCATTTTTTTGATTTTTCTCCAAATCTCTAAATCCAGCGAATATTTTAAAAATTTGGTTTTTTACCATTTTGAACCAAAAGGAGCGCATGACGCCTACATTATTTTTATGATAGCACCAACATTTACGGAGGTACCCTAGAGAAGTGTCGAAAATGGAACACCCTATACATGTTAATTTTACCTAAGCGATTAAAAAAAAGACAGCAGAAATAATTCAAGTTTCTTAGATCTTTTTAACGTCACAATATCCAGAGTTACTCTGAGATACCTTCAAGACTTTTTGGTTGAATATAAAACGAATGTGTGCAGTCGTATAATATGCTTTTCAGGCATATTTTCGCAAGATCAGTTCATTACTCGAACGGTAGGTTGCTTGATTTCAAGGAAGTAAAGTGGGAAACGCTCTACCTGGACTACAAGTTGAGATATTATTTAAATTTTCTGTCTTTATTTTAATTCGACCATATAACAGGGCTATAATAGACCACGGTCGTATACACCGATCTGAAAACTCGAGCCTGTTTCTATGTGAGAAGTGAGGTTGATACGCGTCGACTGTCGCGTAGTACCAAAAGTCGTCACGGGCGGCGCATCAGGCGAAGAATATTCTCTGTCAAAATGGGGTGCAAAAGTTCTTCTGTTTTTGAAGTGCCTAAAGATGCGGAAATGCGTGCAAAGTGGATGCTTGTGATTATTGCGATTCCGAAAAGTTGTTTTAACGGCGTTTATTGAATCGGATTCAAGGCAAATTTTCTCCATTGAATGTACCTATCCTCTCTACTCGTATAAGTTAAGTCTTCCATAGTATCCTTTTCTATTATGACATTATAACTATTATCGCTCCTTTTAATTAAAATAATTGATAAAAAAAAGTTGTTGCATAAGTTTAATGAACCTATAATAATAGCTTGCGCGCTCGGATTCTAACCCCTGTGTCGTCGGTGGTTAAGCCACCTGCGCTAATGGGACGCACGCTTTACATACGCTTATACCCGCTTTGGCTATACCGTATGGCGTCTGATCCTGACAACATACCTCAATCCATGCGCCACCTGGTAGCTCAGGGAGGAACTACGAATCTGACGACACATAAGAACCTTATCTCAAACAACAGGGTTTCCAAACATCTGTATACGACCCATGTAATATACCCACTGCTATATAATGTATGTTATAACTGTATCACTCAATGAAGTTAAACAGATAAATACACTCAAAACCAAGTTACCAAATTGTATCACTCAAATTGTTGTAAAAGCAATGTTTGGCATCACGTTATCATTGACCGAGCCTTCCCTATTCACGAGGCTTTGCAGTTTTACATTTTAATGAAACTCATATCTAACATATCATATACTTTACTCTTAATATTAATATCACAACCAATCTAAAAGTTAAAGAAATACTGCAAATCGCCTATTCAGCGGTGGCTATGGTAAAAATTTGGTATGTGTCAAAAAGTTTGTATGATAGGTCATAAGAATAAAAAAACTGATTTTGTTAGGTACTTAAAGGATTTCCTCAAAATCGGTACAGTCTTTTAGTGGTCGTGAATGTGTGGTGGGTGACACCATAAAAAACGTTGCCGCGTACGCGTATTATACTGTGGTTTCCAACCGAACATTAACACACATCGTAAAGTACCTATTAAAGTGGTGCAGTCTAAAGGCTGAATTCTCACTTGCGCTGAGCTCGGCGACGCGACGCGTTGCAGCGATGCAAAACGTCACTAAATAGAGATTTCATGGTTTTCAATGCGTGACCGCTTCGATGGCCGTTTTTGTGACGTCACCCACCGTATTTGAACGGCCGCTAAAGACGGCACCGCTTCCGAGAAAACTGTAGCTTTACAGAGAAATTGTGCAATTTTGTGACGTAATAAACATTGTAATTAGTACATTGTATTTTTATATGCATACTGGAACGGATGCACAATGCTACTGAAGCCAGTGGCATGCAACCCGAAAAATGGCGTAGGTAATTTATAAAGCATCAAAATGCAATAGCTATTGAACTATTATTTCTATGCTCATCGTTGAAACATAAATCTAGTAACTATCTACTAACATAATGAGCGTAACAAGGACAGGTAGCCGTAATTCAAAGTCTCTTACTCCGCACTCCCCTTGTTAGAAAAATTTGCGCATTTTTGTATCTTACATCCATTCCAGTAGGTTTAAAGTTCAATCAATTGGCATAACAAACTTGTAGACTGTTTTTTTTTGTTAATAAAAGTCTAATCTCTCTACCATTGTAACATACTTGTATCTACAGGTTGTTCCATACCAGCCTAGGACTGTGATTGAAGTAGGTATGGAACATTTAATATTATATCTTTAAACAATTACCAACTGCTAAAATTGCTAAAATAGATAGATAGACATGAATGGAGGTTTGAAACTTGGTAGATCCATTGCACATATCTTCCTCACAAAAACACATATGTCCTGTTCCACTACTTTCCATCATACAGACGTGATCAACCATAAACAAATTGATTTGTAACTGGGATGTACAAGTTCGTCTAACAACTTCGTAGGCTAAAAGATTGTTTTTGGTCTATCTGAAGTTGATTTACAGGAATTACTTACGTGATCGAGCGTGTCGTACCATTTTCACACAGCATCCATTACATGTCATTAGTGGCGGTTGATCCCTAGGAAGGACGGTGTAGTTAAACGGATCCTTGCATCGTAAGTCGGTCCAACTATCACATTCGTAGCAATAGATTTGTCGGGCTATTAACACAACAATAAATTAAAGATCAACAGTATAGCACGGTTCCTATTCATAATTTGTAGTCTTGTCTTAAGTCTATTGAAAAAAAGAAAAACTCAACGTGTTTCTTTCTTCCGAGATTCCTTACTGCAGAACGACGGAGGTGGGCTGCCCAGGCTTGCCAGAGCCTCTCTTCAACCAGAGAACGGGAATGTAAAGATAGCTAAAACTATGGACTGCAGCGGAAGGAGTACGTACTGCCCAGCATTCGCCTCGTAGATTTCTACATAATGGTAGCATTATGCGAAGGTACGTGTACCCCCTGAAAACTCCAAACAGACTGCAGTCTGCAGTGGGATTCAAACCCACAACCTCTCAAAGCGTGCGTAAAACGCATCCACTTCCCTACCCGCCTAAGTATTAAGATTTCGATTTTGGAAAATCTGACGCATCCATAAACAGGAGGAGGCCAGAAAATAACGAAACGTCATAAAGAAAACCTTCAGTGTAATAGAAATGCGATATACTAACAAAAATGAAAAAAAAAAGGTTTCTTTAACGCATTTTCCATGAATTGATCAACACTTCTTGAAAGGTCAGTGTAACCGACTATTTAGGTGTACAAAGCGAAATAGTTCTAATAACTTATAAATAAGAAACTTAGTAATGCGCATTCTGCGTATTCGCGCACCTGATTTTTAATATATGCGATATGTTTGCCTTTACCAGAAGAATCTTTGATGAAAATTTCAAAAAAATATCTGTAAGAAAGTTCACATTGCGCAGTATGCACATGCGCACATTAATCGTCAAGATCTTTCTTGGTTGAGGTGCCAGAGCTATACGCTACCCAATGCAAAAAGAACGAACTAAATACCTTGAAAACTGTAGGAATAGTTGCGGCCTCGGACGGCCAGAGAAAGTAATCATAATAGCGATTTGCAACATGAGTTCGATAATTAGCTGAAAACTGCATATATTTTGTTGAAATTTTAACCACAGGCACTTCTAGTTAGATATGCGCAGACTGCGCTGCGCAATGCCAACTTTCTTATTCATAGAGATATTTCTTTGGAATTTTAACCAAAGATGGTTTTAGTAAAAGCAAACGTATCGCATATTGTAAACATCAGATTAATGTGCGCATGCGTAGGATACGCAATAACAACTGTCTTATTTATCGAGATATCATTTTGAAATTTTAATCACAGATGCTCCTGTTACAGGAAAACATATCTCATCTTGTAAACATTAGATGTGCGTATGCGCAATCTATACGCATTCTGCGCAGTGCCAACTTTCTTATTTATGAAGATATTTGAAATTTTAACAATAGATACTTAAAAATCAAACGGACGCATGCGCAGACAGCAAAATGCCAAATTTGTTTACTTATGAAGATCTTTTTAAAATTTTAAACATACCGACTCTTCTAGTAAAAACAAACATATCGCATAAATAAAATGTGCGCATGCGCGAACTGCGCAACGTCAACGTTCTTATTTATGGAGATATTTCTAGTAAAGAAAAACATAGCGCACATAGCAATGGCCTTGGGAAGTAACTGGTAAATGCGCTGAAGTTACTCACCTTAGGGGAAAACCTTTTTACTTGTTTATCTTTATGATTAATCAGAATCACTCTACATATGTCAGATGGTTCGTTTTCTTGTTTCAGTCTGTGGCCCAAGTAAATGTGCGCAATTATTGCTTTCATATAATTTAATAAAGACATTTGAGTTGAAATGTGCAGGTGTTTCTTTGTGTAGAATTTCTGTATCTTTAAAGATTATTCGTTAAATATTAGTTTTGTGTTAAAAGTAATGGATTTGTATGATACAACAATTGATAATTATTTTGCTGACGTTAATAAATGTTTAACTTCGTAAAAATGCGGTCTTGCGACAATGTGGAGGTGGTTAGCGATAACGCATTGGTTATAAAAGGAAGTGTTAGAGGAAGATAAGGGGATTCTCAGTTTTGTCGGTATGGGAATTCCTGACCTTTTTATAGGGAATTTATTAGTCCTCATTTGTGAGTCTGATAAGGTCGTCCAAAAATCGTTTTGATAAACAAGTGCACTGCGAATTATTATGGTAACCAAGAAGCTAGTTAGTGATCTTTTTAGCGCATTTTCCAGCTCATGTTAGAAGGCCCTATTATTGCCACTTTCTCCGTCTGACTGCGCAATGCCATCCTTTTTGTTTATGTAGATATTTTTTGAAATTATAACCACAGATGCTTCTAGTATAGACAATTAAGTACGGGGAATTGGTCTTACATGTATACATATGGGCTATGTATACTTAAAAAAAACGGATCAAACGCATGGAATCATGATAGCATCACGGTATGGAACAGACGACTGTAGGCAACCAATATTACACGCGAATAACTTCAATATGGGCATAGCTTTAGCCATATAATACGCAATGCCAAAAGTTGAATCCAATCGATTCAAAATTCACAGTGCTCTTTTCGCATCTCGACCATTTATAAACCGAATTGCAAACTTTTTTACTTATAAGAGTATTTGAATGAAATTTGATACATAAGCACTTGGAATAAAGGAAAATCAAACGCCAATTTCAAAATTTGGTTTTGTGCATGCGCAGTGCCAACTTTTTTATTTATGGAGGAATTTAAACGAAATTTGATACATAGGCACTTGGGATAAAGGAAAATCAAACGTCAGTTTCAAAATTTAGCTTTGCGCATGCGCAGTGCCAACTTTTTTATTTATGGAAGAATTTAAATGAAATGTGATACATAGGCACTTGGAATAAAGGAAAATCTGGCGCCAGTTTCAAAATTTTATTTTGCGCATGCGCAGTGCCAACTTTTTTATCTATGGAACCATTTAAGTGAAATTTGATACTTAGGCGCTTGGAACAAAGGAAAATCTAACATTAGTTTTAAAATTTAGGTTTGCGCATGCGCAGTTCCAACTTTCTTATTTAGAAAAGCATTGAAATGAAATTCTTCTCATAAACTGAAATTGAAGTAGCACGTCAAAAATGGATTGCCCATGTGCAACGCTATCTTTCATATTTGTGGCCGGATTTTTACGATTTTATCAGAAGTTGCATCTTACAAATGGGAAATGAATGCAAGTGGAAATGCGCTTTATGTAAATCGTTTACGATTACTTTTTAACTTGTTTATAGTAGTTATTGCTATTAATTTTAACAATTTTGATTGTAATCCAAAAGTGTGGGATAATTCTTAAAAAAAAGTGCAAATAGTTCCGCAAGCACTAACAAGTAGTCCAATGATATCGACATTTTTTAATCCATAGGATTCTTTGAATTTAATTTAAGAAAAATTCCCTGTATATCACATAGTGTAAAAACCAAATGTGCATATGCGCAATGTGAACTTTCTTAATAATAGAAGAATTTTGAAATTTTAACCAGATTCTTTTCGAAAATACAAGCATAACGCATATATAAAAATCTGATGTGCGCATGCGCATACTGTGCAATGTCAACTTTCTTATTTATGGAGATATTTTTTGAAATTTTAACTACCGATGCTTCAAGTTACGACAAACATATCGCATATTGTAAAAATCAGATGTGCGCATGCGCAGACTGCGCAATGTGAACTTTCTTATTTATGGAGATATTTTTTGAAATTTTAACTACCGATGCTCCAAGTTACGACAAACATATCGCATATTGTAAAAATCAGATGTGCGCATGCGCAGACTGCGCGATGTGAACTTTCTTATTTGTAGAGATATTTTTTGAAATTGTAACCGCATATGCTTCTAGTAACGACAAGCATATGGCATATTTTAAACCGGTGTGCGTATGTGCAGTCTCCTAAGCTTTATATTTATAAGAATATTTATGCCGTCATTTTTTTCTTTGTTCACATAAATAGTCCGTTACATGATGGCAATTTCTTGTTTGAATCGAGAAATTTAAAATTGTAAAATAATCAAGGTACTCAAATTCATAGTACACACATCACCTGCACTACAAACTTCAAAAATCAATATTTCAGTAATTCCTAGTAGACAGGATACCATACTCTGTAAGCAATAGTAAGTGTTTTTTTTATTATTATGACCTTTTGTACTACAACAAAACGGAAAAACTAAATACGTATGGTAGGTAATTACAGAATTTATATGGGGGTTTACAAATGTATAGTTATGTACAATAAGTATTTGAAACGACTAGCTAAATATAATTTCAAAAACTTACTTTGGCATTCTGCATCTGTAGTTGATGTTATTGCTAATAGGGATATTACTGAAGCTGAAACAATAAATCATAGATAAGTAGGCAGCTTTGGTTTCAATAAGAGCAAAAGATTTACGGATCCTGCTCTAAAACTAATATAGTGTAGGTACCTTTTATTAAACTTATTATTGTAAAACTTATCATATTGTTTAAAGTTAACTCCGGTATGTCCTTGCACTATTTTTATGTTTTTCTAACACAATCACTATTTCTGCGTATGCTACTATTGCCATCATATTTAAGTTGTAATCTTTTAGGATGTGATAATAACATTTAAAACTTTACACTTCCAAGAAGGAGTAATGTACCAGCAGTGCAATAGGTACGTACGCTCTCTATCTCGTTTTCTGTATTGATCTCTTTAGCTTTCTCTTTCTAAAATAGCTGCAGAAATACGCGCAAGTCAACATTGTCGAGATTCAAAAATTCATTAGCAAAAAGAATTTATTATGACACTCGACTCGAGATTCCACTGATTCAATTCTTAACATATTTATGTTAATTATAATTTCTATGCAATAGTTGCTGCAATCGACATATCATAATAGGACTCCACCTTTCTTTTATGAAAATATATACCGCGGATTTCTGCGATAGTCAATTTGGCACTTAGCGTGGTCAAAGTACACATATAGCTTCACAAAAAATAAAAACCTCTTGAAATTTCAAATTTGAGTATTCAAAAGGGTCGTGCTTAATATGAAAAATTCTTTAGGAAGATAGGTATGCAATTTTCCGAAAAATCGTCGAGTGAAAAATTTTGTTTTCGTTTTTTCACTGTAATTGTTTAAATATTAAATATACGGAAAAAAGTTTCAATTAAAGTTTGCAGCTGATGCATTTATCGACAAAATTTGTCTGTAAAGTTTTTCTGTAAATTGACAAGTGTACGAGATATAATTGATTTCAGCGGAAGTTGATTCGTGGGTGGGCGCGAACGTCCCGTGAGCCGAATTGATTAAAGGCTTGATTTAAAAGTTAATAATTTGAATATTGTGATGCACTGAAAAAACTGACAAAGTTAATATATTTCAATGAAACTTTATCTGTAAATACTTTGAAGTATATACTTTCAAAACTTAATACAATTCTTCTGTAAATAACAAATTTTTTAAATAATAGACAATTATTTATATCAGACGTCTTTTAGAAAATCTAACAACTATTTTCAGTGCTAATTTAGAAAAACACAACGTAGATATTGACGAAGATGAAGATAATGATGACTTCGACGATCAAACAACTATAAATGTTGATAATCAAGACACTCAAGGTTCACATTTTGAGGATAACTTCAGTGAAGATGAAAATGATATTGAGTTATATTTGAGCTTGGAAGACGAATGATACTGATTGATTTCGATATGATAAATAAATGAAAACTCTACGTTTCTACCTGTCATTGTTTATTTACTATCTTAAAATTAAAAACTTGAAAATTAATAATTATGATGTTTAAAAATACTCTTAGGAAAATTTGGTATATTTCGAAAACTAATGAAGATATCAGAAAACTTTTCAGACAAATTTTGTAAGTAAATGCATTGTCTATAATTTTTCTGTATTTTCATTATTTAAACAATTAGAGTGAAAAAACAAATAACAAAATTTTCGACCAAAGTTCTTCCGGAAAATTGCTTATCTAAATTGGTAAAGATTTTCTCATATTAAGCACAATCCTTTTAACTACCTACATTTGAATTTCCAAAAGGGTTTTACTTTTTGCTGCATTTTACGGATATTTTGTGTACTTTGACCAGGCTAACTAGACATGATCCCATTGTAAGGTTGGGTGGGTAAGTGTAATTAATCTTAGGAACCATTTTTGCTCAGAAATCAATTATGCGACAAATATAAACTAACATTTGTCGTAATACATCAATATCCGCATTAGCAATATCAACTGGTCATCTTGCACCCTACCTGAGTCGCCAGAGGGCAACCACACCTGTCTGGAGCTTAGACCTGCTGCTGTATACAAATATTCAGATATAAGATGAAGTTTATAGGTCGATTTTGCTCCCCCCGCCAGCACCAGATCCGGTGGAAGTTGTCAGGGAAGAAGACGGAGTGGCAACAACAACAGCTACAGCGGAGAAAGAATCAGACGAAGAAGGTTCCTACCGCGAAGTCCACCGGGGAACACGCTCCCAAACTAGCCGCCTGCAAACATCTTCGCGACAACAATCGCGCATAATACCGGAATCTTCAATTCAAACCGAGCAGACCCAACCACCTGCACACCACCACCATCAACAACCAATCCAGTATCCAGAGTGACAAACCAAAGACACGCTGTTGCCAAAACGACCAGTCATCCACCGCAGAAGCAGCCGCTACAACCATCCTTCCTGCAGATGCACGACAATGAGACACAGGTTTTGAACGTCTCAATCTACCAAATTCACCTAGTTCGTGTAATTGGGTGTAGTACTAGCGGTATAACGGAAATTCTTGAAAGAGACTGCATTTTTTTATACCAAGGTGCCACTTGGTACAGTTGTTCCTTAGAGCCATTTAAACGATTTGACCCGAAGAACACTTGACATTTTCCGTGTGGGTAGATTTTAGAGGGGGTGGGGGGTGATTTATTGTAACATTTTTTTAAAAACTAAATATGGCCTAGAGACGAGATCTGGGTGTCGATTTCGTATGATTTTAACCCGAGGAATCCAATGGTAGCGCCAGAAATGTAATCCGGATACCGGAAGTCCGTGAAAAGCCGCCATTTTTAGAAAATGACAAACTTTTGATCGAATTATATTTTTAAGGGACACCGGGTCGTGTAAGGTGTCTAGACTTATGTTTTTGGGGTCAGGGAATTCATTTTTGATAACAAATAGAACCTACTGGCATCGGAACTGCATGAGAGGCTTCCCTACTGCACTTTTTGAAGACGTCGCACACGGTGAAACCCAAGAATTCCAAAGTTTTAATATACAGGGTCATTCTTGACGAGCGTCAGTTAGAAAGATATGCAAAACCTTTGAAAATTAAGCTGAACTGATAAGTCCTTTAAAGGTTTTGGCACATGATGAATTGAACTAAAATATTTTCAAAATGGCGCCACTTCCGGAAATACCGGAAGTAGCCATCAACTTTGTTATTTTAAATAGGGACCCCCTATTTTTTCTACATTTTCGGATTCTACGTCGAATTTGGAGTACAACGATACCCCATAGTTGACCCTTTGCTCCAAGGGCTTCGCCGATATTCAAGTTTTTGTGTCAAAAATTGAATTTGCAGGGGTAACTTTAAAAATTTATTATTCGAAAACGGTGAGAGATATTGCAAAACAGTTTTCAATGCTTTATTAAGGAAAGATCAATTTTCTTATGGTATGCGTAACCGTCTAAAAAAGTGAGACTACGTCACTTTTTCAAAGCTCTCAACTTTTAAACTTTTAAACATCCGTAACTCCATTTTTTCAAATGGCACCCCCCATTTTGTTCTTCACCCTTGTTTTCCTTTTTCCCAGACCTTTAATTTGATGCAAAATTTCAAAAGCTGCTTCAAACGGTTTCCGAGATATTCCATGTTTTAGTTACTTCTTGTGGAAAGTTGATAAAAAAATTAAATCGCTTGATGTTATTCTTTTGTTTTTATTATGATAATGTTTAAACGTCAAATTTTCGCTGCTTTTCCTGGCAGCTATTCGATTACATTCACCGTGTATTAATATTAAATCCAAAAAATCTTCATTAGTGTAACCCAAACGAGCCATTATTGACGAGAAGTATAAGTTCAAGCAACAAAAATTTGACGTTTAAACATTATCATAATAAAAACAAAAGAATAACATCAAGCGATTTAATTTTTTTATCAACTTTCCACAAGAAGTAACTAAAACATGGAATATCTCGGAAACCGTTTGAATCAGCTTTTGAAATTTTGCATCAAATTAAAGGTCTGGGAAAAAGGAAAACAAGGGTGAAGAACAAAATGGGGGGTGCCATTTGAAAAAATGGAGTTACGGATGTTTAAAAGTTTAAAAGTTGAGAGCTTTGAAAAAGTGACGTAGTCTCACTTTTTTAGACGGTTACGCATACCATGAGAAAATTTGATCTTTCCTTAATAAAGCATTGAAAACTGTTTTGCAATATCTCTCACCGTTTTCGAATAATAAATTTTTAAAATTACCCCTGCAAATTCAATTTTTGACACAAAAACTTGAATATCGGCGAAGCCCTTGGAGCAAAGGGTCAACTATGGGGTATCGTTGTACTCCAAATTCGACGTAGAATCCGAAAATGTAGAAAAAATAGGGGGTCCCTATTTAAAATATCAAAGTTGATGGCTACTTCCGGTATTTCCGGAAGTGGCGCCATTTTGAAAATATTTTAGTTCAATTCATCATGTGCCATAACCTCTAAGGGACTTATCAGTTCAGCTTAATTTTCAAAGGTTTTCCATATCTTTCTAACTGACGCTCGTCAAGAATGACCCTGTATAAACTTATATTATTTTATTTAATAAAAATACACATTAACAAAACATAAGATATATTAAAACATGGGGTAAAAAATGTATAATCCTATGAAGAATCACCATGTACATCGCTGACCTCCTCTGAGATTGTGTTATAACCACTGAAAAGGAGTTTTACATATAAATATTAAAGGTTCGGTAGTAAATTATATCGAAAGTATACAATAGTCTCCCATACATTTTTGGCATGCAGAGGAACATGGTAATCCGTTTCGCCGCAGCACGAGTTGGAGGAGCACATAAGGAGGGCGGCGTATGTCCCTAGCCATATCTGGGGATGTGCAAATTAGGTGATGAGAAGCTCTACAAGTCCAGAAGGATGGGGATGGACTCTTGAAGCCAAAGGCAGGAACGTTCTGTAGTCCAAGCTGCCACAAGTATGGAAGGCAGTCCGTGCTCTGAACAGGTGTGGCTGCGCGACAGGCTGCGAGACCCTTCGGTGCAGCTGCCGGCGACATGGATTGCCATGTTCCCGTGCATGACAAAAATGTATGGGAGATTGCTCAAACAAAGGATAAGAATATTGTAAACTTTCGGATATACCTAATTTACTACCGAACCTTTAATATTTATACCGAGTGAATAGTCCCATTTTCCCATTTTTTGTAGATAGTTGCTCCCCATGTTAACTTAGAGGGTTGATCATGACACCAATCGAAAAGAGATTTTTTTCCTCGTCTAATGATATACGAATTAGTTCATTTTCAGGTGTATTTCTCGCTATATTATCAAAAACTCGAGAAATCCACTTACCAAAATCATGTTTAGCCATGACAAAAAACAGATTCAAACGTCGAAATCAATATCAGTTTATGACGCCTGGCATTAATTTTTTTGTAAAATGCGGTTCACTGAGGAAAAAGTATTTATTTCATACTATCTAGTAATCGCCGCTTTCCCAGACCCATTTGAGTCTGGTAAATCGTATTTTACCAGACTGAAAATGTTTACCTGACTGGAAATTTTGCCTAGCAACATCAACTGACATCCATCTAAACCTGTATATTAATGTGTCAAACTACTGTCAGATCAAACAAATCAAGTGATCGACTTTTGCTTTCATTTGAATGCGTACAACATTCTAATCAAAAATTGTATGGCATTTTAATAGAAAAAAGAGCAGTATGAAATAAAATGTTTTACATTATTTGTATGTTAAATCAGTTAACGTTACTCGTTTCGAAATTCCTGCCTCAGCTACGCTTCGGCAGTAAACATCTCACTCGTTAACGTAAACCTTGATTTACCATACTTATATGTAAATAACTATTATAATAAACAACGTTTACAGCAGAAATATTTACTCTAACGCGATATTTGTTTTCCGTGCATGTGAAAACCTATTTCAATTCGTTAGGAAATTTCCATGGCTTAACATGATTTTGCTAATTGGAGAAACGATCGGCAAAAAAACGTTTTCGTACTTCCGGGACTAAAGTAAGAACTTCACTCCATTATGACAAGTGCTGAAGTGTCACTTTTTGTCCCGCCGGGATTAAATTTAGACGAAAATCCCGGAAGGATGAAATTACTAACAAGGCAATTTCAGTAGGTTGTTCCACATTTTGTATGCGGCACTACCTCTTAAACGCATCGTACTGCTGCTCATATAGTTTTTTGGATTTCGGTGGTATCAATTCTATACCTACTTTGGCTGCTTTTTATCAATATCAAATACACCTTTGTCACCCACCACCAAAATTATGACACTAGCAATGACAGTTTCCAAATTATTTTTGTTACCATAGCATAGGGTTTGTCATACCAACGCAACGTTCCTATGGTAACTTGTCAAGCAGCGATTTTTTTGAAAGAACGCGTTCTCTAACTTCATACATATTAAGTGTTTCGGTTTCGGAAGTACGAAAAATATCGTATATACCTTGCGACTGAAGTAGTGGTCTTAATCCCTTCGGTCGGGCCATAAACTTTACCTTCGGGATTAAAAGTAAGTACTACTTCAGTCCCGCGGTATATAATATACTATTTCGTACTTTCGAGACTAAAGTGACAACTTCACTCCATTATGACAAGTACTGAAGTGTCACTTTTTGTCCCGCCGGGATTAAATTTTACGAAAATCCCGGAAGGATGAAATTACTAACAAAGCAATTTCAGTAGGTTGTTCCACATTTTGTATGCGGCACTACTTCTTAAACGCATCGTACTGCTGCTCGTATAGTTTTTGGATTTCGGTGGTATCAATTCTTTACCTACTTTGGTTGCTTTTTATCAATACCAAATACACCTTTGTCACCCACCACCAAAATTATGACACTAGCAATGACAGTTCCTATGGTAACTTGTTGGGCAGCGATTTTTTGAAAGAACGCGTTCTCTAACTCCATACATATTAAGTGTTTCAGTTTCGGAAGTACGAAAAATATCGTATATACCTTGCGACTGAAGTAGTGGTCTTAATCTTAATTAAAAGTACTACTTCAGTCCCGCGGTATATAATATACTATTTTCGCATGTTAATTTCCTACGTTCGGTTTTAAAATATTCACCCGGTATGTGAAACTCCTTTTCAGTGGTGATAACGCAATCTCAGAGGAGGTCAGCGATGTACTTGGTGATCCTTCATAGGCTTATAAATTTTTTACCCCATATTTTAATATATCTTATGTTTTGTTAATGTGTATTTTTATTAAATAAAATATTACAAATTTATATAGGTATTAAAACTTTGGAATATCTTGGGTTTCACCGCGTGCGACGTCTTCAAAAAGTGCAGTAGGGAAGCCTCTCATGCAGTTCCGATGCCAGTAGGTTATTTTTGTTATCATAAATGAATTCCCTGACCCCAAAAACATAACTCTAGACACCTTACACGACCCGGTGTGCCTTAGAAATAATTCGATCAAAAGTCTGTCATTTTCTGAAAATGTCGGCTTTTCACGGCTTCCTGTATCCGGATTACATTTCTGGCGCTACCATTGGATTCCTCGGGTTAAAATCATACGAAATCGACACCCAGATCTCGTCTCTAGGCCATATTTAGTTTTTAAAAAAATGTTACAATAAATCACCCCCACCCCCTCTAAAATCTACCCACACGGAAAATGTCACGTGTTCTTCGGGCCAAATCGTCTAAATGGCTCTAAGGAACAGCTGTACCAAGTGGCACCTTGGTATAAGAAAATGCAGTATCTTTTGGTATACCGCTAGTACTAGTGGATATTTGCTGTTGGTTAACATTAGCCCCCTCTGATGGTTAAGCGGGGTTGGTGTTTCGTATGCAGCTATTGGTATATTTTCTCGTGGTAGTTTCAAATTTTTTGTTTTTTTAACAAGTTGACTTGAAATTTTAACCCTGTATATTGCAGATTCCACTGACTATATAATATATACTCGGATACGCGCTCCTCCGTAATCCGTGCCTTCCCCTAAGGGGTAGCGTAAGCCCCTCACTCTGATACGCAATGAGGGAGACTCACTACGCACTCGCATTCAATCCTAACGGTCGGATGGGATCAATCTCCCCCCTCTTGCTCCGCTTTTCCTTTATCTCGCCCGCACATACACCATATCGCGGGCTCATACGTCCCAGATCCTCAGTCCTGCTGCGACGGTGTCTGCCTACACCTTCGCTCGAATGCATTGCTCTTAACACCCCAATTTCTCATTAGCTAGTGAAGTTTATAACGAAGTGATCATCGCAATGCTATCCCAAGATCTATTACTAGACCTGTACTGTCACCCGATCTCAGTACCATGCATGAGATAGCCCTTCACCCACTGTGGTCACTCATGAATTACCAGTGATCTCAGTCCTCTACCATTCTCTGCTCTCGCTCTTCTCTTCTCTCTCTCTCATCTCTCTCTCTCTTCTCTCTCTTCTCTCTCCTCTCATCTTCTCCTCTCTCTCTCTCTCGTCTCTCTCTCCCTCTCTCTCTGCGTCTCCTCTCTCTCTCTCTCTCTCTCTCTCTCTCTCTTCTTCTCTCTCTCTCTCTCATGCTCTCTCTCTCTCTTCTCGCTCTCATTCTTCTCTCTCCTCCTTCTCGCCTCTCTTCCTCTCTCTCCTCTCTCTCCTCTCTCTACCTCTCTCTCCTCTCTCTCCTCGTCTTCTCCTCTCTCCTCTCTTCCTCTCTCTCTCTCTCTCCTCTCTCTCCTCTCTCTCCTCTTCTACCCTTCTCCCTCTCCGTCTCTCTCCCTCTTCTCTCCCTCTCTCTCCTCTCTCTCCTCTTCTCTCCTCTCTCTCCTCTCCTCTCCTCTCTCTCCTCTCTCTCCTCTCTCTTCCTCTCTCTCCTCTCTCCTTCCTCTCTCCCTCTCTCTTCCTCTCTCTCCCTCCTCTCTCCTCTCTCTCATCTCTCTTCCCTCCTCTCTCCTCCCTTCTCTCCTCTCCGTGCGCTCGCTCCCTCTCTCTCCTCTCTCTCCTTCTCTCTTCCTCTTCTGCCTCTCTCTCCTCTCTCTGCCTCTCTCTCCCTCTCTCCTCTCTCTCCTCTCTCCTCTCTCCTCCCATCTACTCTCTCTGCTCTCTTCTCCTCTCTCTCTCTCTCCCTCTCTCTCCTTCTCTCCTCTACTCTCATCTCTCTCTCTCTCTCTCTCTCTCTCTCGCTCTCTCTCTCTCTCTCTCCTCTCTCTCTCTCTCTCCTCTTCTCTCTCTCTCTCTCTGCTCTCTCTCCTCTCTCTCTCTCTCCTCTCTCTCTCTCTCTCTCTCTCTCTCTCTCTCTCTCCTCTCTCTCTCTTCTCTCTCTCTCTAATCTCTCTCCTTCTCTTCTCTCTCTCTCTCTCCCTCTCTCCTCTCTCTTCTCTCTCTCTCTCCTCTCTCTCTCTCTCTTCTCTCCTCTCCTCTCTTCTCTCGGCTCTCTCCTCTCTCTCTCTCTCTCTCTCTCTCTCTCTCTCTCTTGCGTAATTAAGTTTATGTTTTGATTGATTACATGCGGTCTCTTGAGCAGAAGTAATATTCATATATAAGTTTTTATCGTACTGACTTGTTTGTAAACTAAACTAACTCTTCGGTTTAGAATCTATGTGTGATATGCGATTCAATGACTTCCACATACCTACCCGCTTACCTGGCCCATAATTCCCAGAACTTGTATTTCACCTATATGTTACCTTTTGAAGCCTACATGTTACTTTTTTTTGTTGTTGTTATAATCTTATGTTATACTTCCCCATCATTACAAACAATTACTTTTGCTACATAATTTAATTGTAATTGGACGGCTAGTTTTTTCTTGACAAGTTCTTTTATTCTCAGCCTATTTTTATTTTTATTCAGTGAACTACCATTTTCAAACTCAATTTTTGCAAAATTTCAAAAAAGTATCAAATTTCAAAATCTCCATAAATAAAAAAGTTGACATTGCGCAGTGTGTTCATGCGCACGTCTGATTGTTACTATGTGCGATATGCTTGTGTTGTGTGTACTAGAAGCATAGTTAAAATTTCAAAATGGTTGAGGTACCAGAGCTATTAGCTACCGAATGCAAACAGAACGAACTAAAAACTGTAGGAGTAGTTTAAGGCATCGGACATTTATTACATGTCACTCAATACTAAACTCGAGCAGTTTAGGAATATTCACTAATTTTCCTTTTTTTTCTTAATTTTTCATACAGAATCACCTCTTTAAATATTCGCATATTAGGAAAACCCTGTCTTCTTTATCCCTGATTGTGTGCAGACTTGGTGCAGACATACAATCTTGAACTCTAAAGAGTTCACTGTATGTCTATGCATACAATACGTCTATAGTGGACCGATTAGGCAAATCCAATACCATGGGCAAATCATATAACTTGCGGCCTGCGGGGGGGCGTGGCGTGTATTTCGTTAGGTGGAGGGGAGTGTAAACAAATGAGCTGAAGATGAGTGTGCTGGCACTTGCACTTTGCAGAATCTAAATCTTGACTTTAGATAAGGTTATGGTTATCGATATCTTCACAATCTTTTTTCTATATATTCCCTATATTTTACTTAATTCTTTTTATTTTTGTTGCTTGAATTGTAATTGACGAACGACCTTGTTTTGTCACTGAACTAGAACTTGGACAATCGCGTAAATAAAAAAAAATGAGTTTGTATGCGACCAGACTGGTAGCCGTAAGGTCATCAATAACCGGAATTGGTCTAGAAAGTACGCAGATACCAAGGAATTTCCACATAACCTCCGCCCAGTTAACTACCACAAAACCAAAGCAAAAAATGGTAAGTTTTCACTTCTCCTTTGCCTACAATTATTTAATTAATGCAGTTTAAAGATAATTTTGATGAACAACATTTGGCAAATCATCTAACTTTCACTTGTTGCTAACTTGCCTATCTTTAATCCATATTGTAAACTTCAACTGTTTTCTTACAAGCCTAAAGTTAATACGAAATGTTAATTTTCAGCCACTTAGTCCTAAACTTATCGGTGAAGAACGTGATCAACAACTGAAACCTTTATTGCTAACAGGTTGGTCTGTAGTTAAGGATCGGGATGCAATCCACAAAGAATATCTGTTTAAAAATTTCAACGAGGTTTGATTTTGTAAGCGATCTTTAAAGTTATTTTAATCATTTGTCTTTCAGGCGTTTGGCTTTATGAGCAGAGTTGCTTTGTTAGCAGAAAAAATGGATCATCATCCTGAATGGTTTAACGTGTATAATAAGGTGCAGGTAACGTTAGCTTCACACGATGTCAGTGGTATCAGTTCTCGGGATGTAAAAATGGCTAACTTTATGGAAACTGTCTTCTCGTCATATAGCAAGTAATTATTTCTTCTCACCCTGCAAATTGATGTGGTCCAATTGATATGATTTTGATATTAAGTTTATGTACTTAAAAATTATATACGGATGTTGTAACTAGTTTTTTATTTATTAACTACATTAGATACAGTTGGCATATTATAGTTACTGTTTGAGGTCAGAGAAGGTATTCTAGTTTAGTCAATGTACCTACTACGATCTTGGGGTCTATTGTACCCTCTAGCTTTATTTTCACTCCCTTAAAGTGTCTATGTGTATGAAAAAACATTTCCAACATTTTCCTGGGAGAAACATTTTAAAAGATTTCTGGGTTGATCTTCCTTTTCTGTAGAGGTGTTTCTCTCCGCGCACCTTAACACAGAAGCACATTTGGTGCAGGTGTTCATTCTATAGTGCCCTGTTTATATGGACCTGTCAATATGAATAAATCATTTCTACCTGAGTTGCAGTAGGTGTTCAGCCCTTTGGGCAGAGTCGTTCTTAGGGTGGAGCGGCAGCTCCAGGCCTCGCGCTGTGAGTCCTTACTCTTGGTTGAATGAAAATAATATAACAATGTACAGTGTACAGACAGTACAGATATACATGCCTAAAATACAGGGTGATTCCTATAGTACCTGCCACCGTTTGAGAGCGTGTAGGTGGTGCGTAGGGGAGTATTTTGATATAGGACACTTGGGGTCGGAAATCTATAATAAGGGTGCCAGAGCCAAATTTACCTTCTGGAATTTCGCGCCTGTAGGTAGGCAACCCAACCGGCCGGCGGTGCACACGGAGCGATCTCAGGCGGCGATGTGTGGCTGACACTTGATCAGAATTTTGTTTAAACCCACGAAATCCCGTCTGCAACGACGCGTATCAAGTGAATAAACACTATGGCAATAGTATAATAATAGTTGGCTAGATGTAGGAAGTGCATTGAGAACAACGGTGGCCACGTTGAACACTTGTAAACGTTATTGCTTTTGACTGTCGTTTTCCCTCCTTCCCTCCCATGTCGCTTCCTCGCGCTAACTCGCTCTGCATCGCTCCGCGCGAAACGTCGGTCGGTTGGGTTGCCTACATACAGGCGTGAAATTCCAGAAGATAAATTTGGTTCTGGCGCCCTTATTTTAGATTTCCGACCCCAAGTGTCCTATATCAAAATACTCCCCTAGGCACCCCCTATACGCTCCCAAACGGTGGCAGGTACTATAGGAATCACCCTGTATATGTCTGATTACCCACAGGTGCATTTTTCGTACAATGCTTGACAGCTTGACCCGGTGAGACCCATTTTGACCCAGCGTTACCTGGTGACCCAGTAATTAAATTATTGTTAGGTATCCGCCTTTGTGCCAAAATGGTAATTTTTATTCAAATTTATAGCATTAGGTTTGCATTGGTATACATACAGTGAATTTTTTTTAATGCGAACATAGGAGTTTGCATGCAATGTAATTTCCCTATGTTCGATTTTTAAAAAAACCTACGAGTAAAAAATAAGAGGAGGGAATATAATGGTGGTGGGAAATAGCATAACACGCGACGGAAATCGTCAAAATATCACTTCCTTTGCGCTGGTTATGTCGACTTGACTTATCATAAAACAGAACAGACGGTGTCAGTTTTGTTTTACTACACCACTGCCAATAATATCGCGTTTCTCCCCACTCTTCTCGCAATTTTATCACTTCCTTTTTGTCCATTTCCGTCAAGTCCCCTTTTAATGCAAGGTTCTCTCCTTTTATTTTTTACTCGTAGAAAAAAACACATCAATCTATTGAGTAGTTCAAATGAGTAGTAGATACAATTGACAGCTGTCATATTTTTAAAAATACCGCCGTCCAATTTAATTACGAAATCGGTTAGGTTATTGCTTATGCTCAAGGAGGACACTTCGAACATTTATTGTAATTGTTTTCGGTATTTATTTTCTTATTTTCTTCATTTATGTATTGAATAGATCAAATTAGTACAATACCAGGTGCAGATGACCTACAAATAATTGAAGGTTGGTTCACAATGAATTGTGATGTCAGGGCGTGCCATGTGAAGTCAAGTTTTCGTAAGTTTAAGAAAAATGTATCCTAAAGTTGCTTGGCCTCACATGGCTTATTTAAAAAAATCTTACCGATCGCTCTTCATCATAACGACTATAGAGTTGCTGTTCATAGTCACACAATTTGCGCGATTTGGGAATGTGTCCACTGTGAAAGAACATTACACCCTACAAACAGGATCAAGCTAATCTGGTAATAATAATTACTCTCATATACAAATAATTTTGTTCCGCGAAATTCCGGGTTAATGTGCGGAGATTCAGAATTTCCATTCCATTCCGCTCCGTTCCATTCCATTCCGCGATAGTGTGCGTCCTGCTTTAGTCTCCTGGCGAGGATTCGGGTGGGATGGGGCGTACAGCATCGCGTATTGTCGTGTTTGCTTCGGTGTTTCTTTGTCGCTGCCTTGATATAAACACTACAGCAGGTATAATTACACGAATATTGGTAAATCCTTTTTTTTTTAAATTTTGTGTATTTGGCATAGTATAATAGTTTGCCAAATTTAAACTATCTACCTATCTCTTACTTTACAGTTTCCGAGATCCTTATCATGGTGGCCCCCGACTTTGAATCAACCTATATAGGTCCGCAAAACCCTGATAAACATTGGTTATTTTGTCCAAATGTCCTATCTACAATAATATCCCCTCGTAGTTCCTTTGCAATGGAGATGGCAAGGAAAAGAAAAGTGGTGTCTGGTCCAATACAGGATTCTGTAAACAGTAAAAGTTTTGTGAACCGAAAAGTCCTATCAGCATTTTATGCATAAAAAATTTAAAAACCCTCAATTTTTATTTGCGAGTAAAATAAACCCAAAATAAGTTATTGAAAAGCTGTGTTTTTAGTCCGAATTTGAAACGCTTCAGTCTAAATACGTCACAAACCTACAACCAATCACGTAGAAGGGAGCCGGCAACCTTGTGCGAGGGTCTGACGTTTGTCGGATTTGACGTTTTAAGAGGCATGTTTAACCACACCGTCTATAATTATATAATTATAATATATATAATTATAGACGGCTGTGGTTTAACTGCATCTAATGCGAAAGTGAACGACAAGTGACAAGTGCCTGTGACAGGTGACGCAATTTACAAATGACATTCTCCTGCTATATTGCCAATTCGTTATGTCATCTGATTGGTCGGGCTTATTACGTCACAGAGCCCGCCACAATCATACCGTTTTGAATAAACCCTTAAAACCGCACATGTTCAGTATTTTTTGCTAATCAGCCTCTATTTTTAAATAAACTTTTACTATCCAAAAAAATGTTTTATTCCTTTATGGTTTCAAATACACGCTTATTCAATTAGAACTACGACTGTAAACCCCCATTTCCGCGTAAAACCATTTCACTGTTTCAATTTTCTCGGATAATGAATACATTTTTATTTTATTTAACAAATTTTAAACCAATTTTCTATTACAAGCAATAAATATTAAACCTCTCGCCAGGAAAGATTGCCGGTCAGAGAACACTTGATCCCGCGGTCTACAATCTATGTTTTTCTAAAGATGTGAGCGACTTCCGGGAGAGTATCGTGTTAATGTTGAACAAAAAGGCTTTTCGTTTAACATTGGCACGATCCTATTCCGGAAGTCGCTCGGATCTTAAGAAAAACATAGATTAATTGTAGATCGACACAAGGTGTGCTGTGACCGGCAATCTTTCCTGGCGAGAGTTATATATCAAAAATAACAGAAAGTTTACTTTTTGTTTTAGAAAATTCCATCGCATCGCAGATTATTGAAAAAGATGCGGGTTTTATTTTTCCCATTTTCAGTCTTTATTATGACGGTTGATTGGCGTAAAAAATTATGTTCTACAAAAAACCTTAATACATGTTTGCACTAAAATAATTTGGGGGGCAATAATCGCATGTTATGAATTTTACATTGAAATCCCTATGATGCGTTACGCAAGTCACCACCCTGTATATATGCCGCAAAACGTCCGTCGTTTCGACATTAAAGTTAGATGGCTCTGTTTACATTCTTTTTCCCCAGGAGTTGCAACTGTAATTATAGAGCAATGAAGGTATTCTTTATTCATTGTTATAGAGTAACGGCGCGTTTAGACTTAGACGTAGCCAGTAGCTGGCGCTAGTCGCACTGGCCCGCCAATTCTTGGCTGGCGCCCGCGCTGAACCTATGGAGGAGTCCGGCAATTGTGAGTTTTTATTGCAGTTTTTATATATGCGCCGCACGCATCGAATGTTCCATAAGCATTCCTGCTCTCTGTATAGCTAACGAGCTTAGAAGTTTCTTTCTCACTATATTTACGTGCCTATGAAAACACAAAATTGTTATGACAGCGACTGACGCCAACCTGTTCAGACTTTGCCTGCAACACTGGCGCGGGTATACGGGGTTGGCAGCTACAACTGGCGAGTGGCGAGAAAAATAGACGCGCTCTCTATTCGTTCCAGCGATGGCGGCTAGTGCTGGACTCAGGACTGGCACGAAAAAGTATTTACACGATGCCAGTGCGACTGGCGCCAGTTACTGGATACTGGTAGTACCACAGCTTATGTGGTAGTACTATAGGATAATAGACTATTCGTTAGGGCGAAGGAAGATGATTCAAAACCGCGGAAGTCGGTACCTTCTCTCTCTCTCTCACGCGGTGAATTTCACAATGGTTCCGAATAAAAAAAAAACTAAGAAAATAAAAACTGTAGGTATTATATATTTTTGCAAAGAACAACAAATAGTTAATCATTTCCCGAAATACCTGGGTAAACATGAGGAAAGTCAACGAATTCCACCCTTTTGTAATTGTTTTTTAGCAATTCTCTTAACTGAGAAGTATGTTCTGAATCCCTCGTTTCACACACAACCGTTATCTAAAACTGCAAATTACCAAATCTGTAACAAAATCATGACGACTTACCTCCACACTAAAAACATCAGTTGCAACCCAAGCTCTTTCATGAAGTATGTCCTTAATCGAAACTCCAAAACCGGCAAGCAGTTTACAAAATTCCGCAATACCTCCCGGACGATCGCTGACAGTTGCGACAATCTTCACTAATCTTCCATCCGCTGCCAAACCACGTTCTAAGCATCTTCCCAGTATTGTTGTGTCAATATTTCCACCGCACAAGTTCAGTACAACCCTGCAAAATTAATATAAATTCCATTCACTTCGCACGACGCATTATAGGTACCTTTTTCCACGAAGCTCATTTAATTGTCCCGCAAGTATTGCGGCCAAACCAACGGCACCGGCACCCTCTACAACGCATTTTTCGTATTCGATTAGCCGTAAAATGGCAATGGCTATCCATTCTTCTCGTACCACAACCTAAGAGCACTGTACTTTGAAAAGTGTAAAGTTTTTATTTATTTTCTTACCAATTTGTCAATAAGAGATCGTGCAGTCTCAAAAGCGTTGTATCCGACCTGAGGAACCGCTAAACCGTCCGAAAGGGTTGATTCTATATTTACGTAAACTGGTTTTCCAGCTTCCACTGCTTTAGAGAAGCTGGCACACCTTTCAGATTCCACCCCCTAAAATGTGTACGGCTTCAATAACATATTCAAATTAAGTAAGAATGTGAATAAAAATAATTATTCATCCATGGCTCATCTTTTTGAAGTATGCATTGTAAATTTATGCTTGTCCAAAAGCGCGTATTCATATAGCGAACGAATTCGGCCGAATGGACTCGTTCGGCTAATGTGTATCTACCTTACCTACAATCAATCATAAGCGAACGAATGTGTTATCATTCTTTAGTTTTCGCTCACAAGGCACATGAAAGAAAAGTAGCCATGAATTCATTCGGTATGTTAACGTCGAACGAATTCGTTCGCTATATGAAAAGCTGAAGTTATATGAAAATTATGCCGTCGAGGCATAGTATTGTATTTATTTAGCTAGGTACACCTATTGTCGTTCCGATTTTGTTAATAAGAGTATATAACTACAATAGTATTTTAACGACGTATAATAAAATACATATGTATTCACTTACGATTATTTTAATATTTGGGTAAAGCGTTTTAATTGCTAAAGCTGCTCCGGCTATTAGACCACCTCCTCCAATTGGTATCACAACTGCATCAATATTCTCTACTTGCTCAACAATTTCTAAGCCTATGGTACCTTGACCAGCCATGATGTCCGGATGATCGTAGCTGTACATATAATATAATAATAAAATAATATAATATAATTATGCATGATACATACATACAGATGGCGACACTGATTAGTAGGTATTTATGTAAAAAATAATGAATTATTTTATTAGGAGTCGGGCCGGGGCCAAATACTTTTTTTAAAATATTTAAATATTAAATGAAATAGTAAGTATTTAATTATCATATATTTTAAAAAGTATTTAACTACTTTGCAAAGCATTTAATATTGATATCCTTCACGAGCAGTTAAAGTATTCAAGTACCCCAAAAGTATTTGACAAGTCCATAAGTATTTAAATACTCTAGAATCATTAAAATACTTCTAAAAGTATTTACGCTTTCAAATGCAAATACAATATGAAGAAAGGTTTACATATAAAGTATTTAAATACTAAAAGGTATTTAAACACTTCAAATACTCCTCAGCTTTGTTAGGAGTACTCAAGAGATTGGATAAGGCGGTACGTAATTTCGTATTCCTAAGTGAAAGAAATACGAAATCGCTGACGGCTAACCAAACGCGTATAGGTACCTATATCTGATGAAACCGGATATTTTTAAAAATGAAACTACTCTATGGCAAATCCGAAAAATGCCTACCTACCCATTAATGTATGTGTATCCTTGTTTCTTGGCGAGTTTTAAGGCTACCTTCTTCGCTTCACCCATATCTTTACCTTTCACAATCACATTCGCATTGAATTTTCGACACTGCGATATTTTCATGATTGGGGCCACTACCGGCATGACTACAGTGACTGGTATGCCCAGTTTAAATCCGTGGTAACATAATGCAAGTGCGTGATTTCCTAAAGATGCCGATATAACTCCCGCTTTCTTTTTGGCTTGATCCAACATTAGTAGTGCGTAACGAGCCCCTCTATCCTTAAAGCTAATTTTTGATTAGTCATCAATCGCAGTAAGTGAAAAACCGAGTGTATACCTTCCTGTATATTGTAGATAATCTTTTTTGAAGAACATGTCGATGCCTGTGGTGTCCGATAATTGTGACCTCTGAAAATCAAAGAAAACGGAAATATTATATAATATTCAGTCTGTTTCAAATTAAGTCGGCACTATTGCTAACGTTCTTAGTTGTAGAGTTGCAAAGAAGGTTAAATTACCAAAACTGTGTATTTTTGAGTTCAAATCTGCGATTATGAAGACAAAATAACATCGCATTTTTCATCAGATAATATCAAAAATGTAACTTTTTTATATGGAACACCCTGTATATTATTACAAGTTCTTAATGCACCATACCCAAAATACTTAAAATAACCAAACTCTTTCAACTATTTTCGTTTCGATCTAGTTATGTGAAAAATGCGATGTGCTTTTGTTTTTTTAAATGCAGATTTGGATTCAATAGGAGAAATACACAATTTCCATAATGTGACCGTATTCTTAACATTACAACTAAGAAAGTTAGCAATACTGCCGATTTAATTTGAAACAGACTGTATAGGTATAGGCAAGACAGCAATAGCGGTTATTACATACATTAGAATTTGGTTGTTTGATAGTATGGGTTGGTACAATTTTGATCCCCTTTAGTTACCAATTCAATTTGGTAGGACGGTTAAAATTCGCCCTTTATATGGGGTCTTCTATTGAACAAAATTAGTATGTTAACCGTTTTCTTGGTTTCACTATTGTACCTACTCTTGTGAAAGAAAATGCTACGTACTTGCGAATTTTACTCGATTTATAGTTCTAATAAATTAAACAAATATAGCAAACGAGCTCCTGGGTATGGCTATAGCATGTGCAAAACCAAATTTTAAACCTGATGTTAGTTTTGCTTTTATTTAAAGTGTATATGTATGAAATTTCATTTGAATGCCTCCATAAATAAGCTGCGCATGCGCAAAACCAAATTTTGAAACTGATGTTAAATTTTCTTTTATTCCAAGTGGTTATGTACCAAATTTCATTTAAATCCCCCTATAAATCAGAAAGTTATCACTGCGCATGCGCAAAACCAAATTTTGAAACTGGCGTTAAATTTACTTTTATTCCAAGTGGCTATGTATCAAATTTTATTTAAATCCCTCCATAAATAAGAAAGTTGGCACTGCGCATGCACGAAACCAAATTTTGAAACTGGCGTTAAATTTGCTTTTATTCCAAGTGGTTATGTACCAAATTTCATTTAAATCCCCCTATAAATCAGAAAGTTGGCACTGCGCATGCGCAAAACGAAATTTTGAAACTGGCGTAAAATTTGGTTTTATTCCAAGTGCCTATGTATCAACTTTATTTAATTGCCTCCATAAATAAGGAAGTTGGCAATGCGCAAAACCAAATTTTGAAACTGGCGTTAAATTTTCTTTTATTCCAAGTGGCTATGTATCAAATTTTATTTAAATCCCTCTATAAATAAGAAAGTTGGCACTGCGCATGCGCAAAACCAAATTTTGAAACTGGCGTTAAATTTGCTTTTATTCCAAGTGGCTATGTATCAAATTTCATTTAAATACCTTCATAAATAAGAAAGTTTGCAATTCGGTCTGTAAATGGTCGAGATGCGCAAAGGGCACTGTGAATGCTGATCGATTAGGTTCAACTTTTGGAATTGTGTTTTATATGGCTAAAGCTATGCGCATATTGAATTTCATGCAATTCGGTTCATAACTAACGGAGATGTCAAAAGGGCCTACTTTATTTTTTGGGCTACATTGCCAATTCACGAACTCCGATCTACAAATTTGATAAAGAATCCACCTGCAAAATTTGATCGTAATCGGTCCATTCGTTTATGAGTTATCGTGCTAACGGACGGACGGACGGACAGACACAACAAAATTATAAACTCGCTAGGAGCTCGTTAATAATAAGAAAGTTGGCAATAGTGCTGGTTTTAGTTGGACCACACTGCACAATTATAACTTTTAGTGCTAATTCTATTACAATAGTACCTGTACCTAAATTGTAGACACTTACATCACATGGTGTACGGATTACGCCAGACTTTATTTTGAATGCTGCTGATGTTATGTCTTCGAATGTAATTTTAAGCGGCCTTTCGGGATCACAAAACGGATCTTGAATGATTTCATCATCGGAGTCCTGCAAAAATAAATTTAGTACTTGCATTAGATTAGCAGCTATTTTGTGGCGTATGTGATAAAGTTTACGTGGTGGAGGACGCGTTCGTGAAATGTAGACAGGGGTATTACGCGCGTAGCCGCAAGGCATTACGGTTGCTTACGCGTTAGAGTGTTAGACCATGCGATCATCGTGTCGGGCGGTCAAAAAAAAGTAATTAATCGACCGCCGGCAAATGTATAGCGAGGTAGTGTGGTATTTTGCATCATAGTTAATCCGCGGGGTGATTAGATTCAAGTGGTGAATCAGTTGACACAATGGGAAATCCGATGTAAAACGGCCGGGCGCGTCGGCAAGAGAAGAAACCATCTAAATTGACCATAGCTTCACCTATCGTCAATTGCGTAAAAAAAAATTAAATCGTTGGTAGAGATATAAAAAGTTCAATAAGTCCGATGATTTTTTTGCGTGCAGAGTGTTTTTGTGTCGCTGAAGAGAGCAGTAAACAGCACGTGATTAAGTTGAATGCTTATGAATGTCGATGTCTTTAATACCTATCGTAAAATAAGGTAAACGCATTTTTCTTGTATTTGTATATTCAACCCATTACCGTGCATTTAGGGGTAAAAAGAACTAAACTATTGTCATTTAAATAGTAAAAGAGAAACCTTTAAAGAATCGGTGCCTTCATATTGTCGAAATGTGTATTTTTGTTAGAACCTACCTAGAAGGGATTTTTGTTGCAATGAACTGTGATTTTTAACTACCGAAGACCTCATAGTTGGGTTCAGAATTTTCTAGTTTTAAGATTAAGACTTGCCATTTTAAAGAAGGAATTGGAATTGTTATACCGTTTATGAAAGGGATTAAGTAAGATAAAGAAGTGACCACTTAGGCGGAGCACAACTCGTTGACGGAATCCTGAGTTAAAGGTCAATTTTGTAAACAAAAGTATTTTTTTTAAATTTTATTATATGGAATTATTTTTGCACTCACGCTATTTGCTAAAATATATTTTATAATTCTATGCCATAATAAGTACCTACGTACTAACATGTCTATTACATCTACTACTTTTTATTATACCGTTGCTACTACTAAAAGTATATAGTCCATAAATTTTCATTTAAGATGGTCTGCGCATGCGCAAACTCAATTTTTATCTGCATGATCAATTCTTTAAATATACATCCGAATACAATTAATATTACAACAAATACCTATCTTAACAAATATAACACAATTGAAATGTACGTGTACAACAAAAACGTTTTCGAGAATTATTCCCCTTTTCGCTTGCGTCTTAACACCTAATAATTTCAAACAAGTTAAAAAGTAATCGTAAACGATTTACAAAAAGAAAATCCGGCCACAAAATATGAAAGATAGCGTTGGCACTGCGCATGCGCAAAATAAAATTTTAAAACTGGCGTTAGATTTTCCTTTATTCCAAGCGCCTATGCAACAAATTTCATTTAAATGCTTCCATAAATAAAAAAGTTGGCACTGCGCATGCGCAAAACCAATCTTTGAAACTGGCGTTTGATGCGAAAAGGGCACTGTGAATTTTGAATCGATTGGACTCAACTTTTGGCATTGCGTATTATATGGCTAAAGCTATGCCCATATTGAGTTTCATGCAATTCCACGGAGATGTCAAAGTGATCGGACATTTCTAAACAAAGTTATCGTTCACACGGACAGACAGACAAAGGAACAGACAGACAGACCAACAGACATACGACAGACACCAATACTCTCTAGGATCGTTAATAAACGGCAAAAGTGTAAAATTATGAAACATGTAAAAAACTGTTTTTTGGTTTTTTAACAAAAACTTTGTTAGTAATAAACGCAGAAAAAATTCCTTCCTTGGCGCAAGCCTCGACACCATAACGAACCAAATAGCCAAAAAAGTAGAACAAGATGATAACTTTATCGAAATCGATCGCCTAAAGAAAATCAATAAATAAATTTTACTTGAGTACACGAAAATATTTTCTTACCACTTTAACAATTCATAGAAAAAAGTAGAACAATCAGCTCTTAAGATAAAGAACTAGTAGCGTCTCAACGAACGAGCGGACGGACGGACGGACAAAGTGGCCACAATAGCGCATTTTTTTAATTTTTGTTGAAATGCGCTAAAAATGAGGTGTGAGAGTGCCGTATGTCCTATCTCGGTTAAGACTGCAGTGTATCTCACCTGTTTTTAAAGATAGAAACTTATGGGATTTTCGCGACCCTGTGTCTACTTTTTTATGAAACTAGCACAAACATAATCAATCTAGCCACGTTTTTTTCTGAAATACAGGGTGAAAACGAAAAGTTTTACTGGTATGTTATCATATCTTACTACGCAGTAAGATAGAAAACATGTAAAAACTGCCTGTTTTAAATATTTTTACGTAGAGTGGCGTAGTCAACACAAATTTTTGGAGCACCGTTTCTGAGATTATAGCCAAAGTTGGTATTTTTTAATGCAACACCCTGTATATCTTAATGTCAATTTTTTGTATTCTTTTGCCTGATTGCATTGATCACAATCTATATTTTGTTGATAATATTTAATATATATCCGAAATGATATCATATTTGTTCTAATTTTTGAAATGAAATGTTTCACATCACAGTCAGCCATTTTTATTAATTGACGGCTACCTTATTTACCCTGGATAAAATAAACAAAACAAAATCTCCATCTCTATGGCCTACCATTTAAAAGCCATAAAAGGTAACCTTTTTGATTTTGATTCTGGGCTAAAATTTTAAAAATGTAGCTTTGATACATCAATGTAGTCCGAAAAAGAATGCAAAAAAAAAGATATAGTCGCGAAAACCGCAAGTTTAAAAACAGCTGCGATTCTCTGCGGTCTGAACCAAAATAAGACGCATGGTGTAGTGATCACAAAACCGTCGAACATATACGTACGGATGGATTTTACGCAGATATTAAGCGGTACTTCTCATAAAAATATGCTATCAATTTGCGCACCTATCCTTTTATGCATGAATTTGGAAATCAAATATGTAGCCCTGTAAGCTTAAATTGAGGCAACCGTACCTATAATGGTGAAAAAAGAGTGGAAAGTAGTAATGAAGAAGGTGGCAAAGTAAAAAAACACTAAGTTCGTTTATCCTGAGTGAACTACATACTATTACATAGGTATTAATAAAAACTAAAAGTAAATCTTACAATTTCGACCTGATGATGTCCTTGGATAAGATACAGAAACACCGTGACGTCTCATTTGTGATGTGGTTTTTCCAAATTCAACGTTGTTTTCAATTTTGTTTAGGAATTTCAATTTTAAAATTCATTTACCAATACCTAATAAATTATATAGTTATTAACAGTAGGCACCTACCGAGGTACCTACTCATTTAAAATAAGCACTACTAGTAGACAAAGATGTTGGCACCTACATCTAAGTTAATAAAAGTTAATAAATCGTATTTAAAATATGTAAATACATATTTTTCATACATTGGGGAGGGGCAGGTTTTAAATTAGAGGAAATGTAGGTAACTTACCAAAGTTAATGCCGCAAATTCCATTTTACGAATAAAGTAAAGAAGGGTACATCAACACGCAAGGTTATTTTGTATAGTAAGTATAAAAATAATTTAAGAATTGAGAATCTTATCAACGCTGACCGAATTGCTAAATAAGATGAAGGTCACAACATTTCTTAAGATACTATGAGGAGTAATTGCGCACTGTATCCAAAAATGTTAGCTCGGCACTGAGGTAAAAAAAAAGAAACAGTTTACTTACTTGCTCTTCAGAACTGTGACGAAAAGTTAATTCCTCCATTATCTACGTCAAATATAAATAGATAGATACTGAATAGATACTTTGTCAATATCAGTTTTATCAACTTTGACCTTAGAGAAATTGAATAGACCGAATAATGAAAGCGAAATGTATTCAAGTTAACTAATTTGTTTGAAATGGACGAGTATAATGTAGAAACAGATTTCTACATGATGATTTTGGATTGGCAATTTACTGATAAAGCCAACGCAACATAAATGGTGATACCACGATTTTAGATACTTAATTACATAATCGTGCGCGTATAACAAGCTTCTTAAGTCGCAAAATAAGTACCTACCTAAACCTCTCGCCAGGAAAGATGCCCGTCAGAGAAAACTTGATCCCGGTCTACAATCTATGTTTTTCTAAAGATGTGAACGACTTCCGGGAGAGTATCGTGTTAATGTTGAACACGAGGTTGAACAAAAAGGCTTTTCGTTTAATATTGGCACGATCCTATTCTGGAAGTCGCTCGGATCTTAAGAAAAACATAGGTTGTAGATCGACACAAGGTGTGCTGTGACCGGCAATCTTTCCTGGCGAGAGTTATATAAGGTACCTATAAGCATGTTAGTGTGTATAATCAATGTTATAAGTGTAAAACTTCGTCACCACCATCACAGATTACCCTAAGTAGATATAGGGTAATCTGTGCCACTATATACTCTGGATATTTGAGTTTATTATGTAAAATAATCTAAACAAATATAGAAGACGAGCTCCTGGGTATGGCTATAGCATGTGTAAAACCACATTTCAAACCTGATGGTAGTTTTGCTTTTATTTAAAGTGCATATGTATGAAATTTCATTTAATTGCTTCCATAAATAAGAAAGTTGGCACTGCGCATGCGCAAAACGAAATTTTGAAACTGGCGTCAAATTTGGTTTTATTACAATAAGTGTCTATGTATCAAATTTTATTTAAATGCCTCCATAAATAAGAAAGTTGGCACTGCGCATGCGCAAAACCAAATTTTGAAACTGGCGTTAAATTTGCTTTTATTCCAAGTGGCTATGTATCAAATTTCATTCAAATATCTTCATTATTATTATTATTATTATTATTATTATGGTCGGTGTTTCTTGTGAGAACTCAGGTCTAGCCTGGTTAACAATCGCACGGATTAAAATCAAGTAACGATTAGTGTCTGTGTCTGTGTCTGGTGAAGTTCTGTAGGGTCCTAAAAAAAAATGCCTGTAATTTTATTAAATGTAGTTTATTGTGTAAGTGTTTCATTGGCTTTGCGTTTGGGTTGAATACGAGGTGGTGTGTTTCTGTGAAGAAGGGGTTTTGTGTTTTTAGCGCATTTCCACAAAAATAAAAAAAAAATGCGCTATTGTGGCCACTTTCCGTCCGTCCGTCCGTCCGTCCGTCCGCTAACTTTGCGACGCTACTAGTTTTTTATCTTAAGAGCTATTGTTCTACTTTTTTCGCTATTTGGTTCGTTATGGTGTCGAGTCTTGTACCAAGGAAGGAATTTTTTCTGTACCGCTTACAAAAAAAGTTATTGTTAAAAAAACAAAAAACCGTTTTTTACATGTTCCATAATTTTACACTTTTGCCGTTTATTAACGATCCTAGAGATCGTTTATAATTTTGCATTGCTATCTGTCGCCTGCCGGTTGGTCTCTCCGTCTGTTCCTTTGTCTGTCTGTCCATCTATCTGTCCGTGTGAACGATAACTTTGTTTAGAAATGTTCGATCGCTTTTACATCTCCGTTAGTTATGAACTGAATTGCATGAAATTCAATATGGGCATAGATTTAGCCATATAATACGCAATGCCAAAAGTTGGATCGAATCGATTCAAAATTCACAGTGCCCTTTTCGCATCTCGACCATTTATAAACCGAATTGCAAACTTTTTTACTTATAAAAGTATTTGAATGAAATTTGATACATAGGCACTTGGAATAAAGGAAAATCAAACGCCAATTTCAAAATTTGGTTTTGCGCATGCGCAGTGCCAACTTTTTTATTTATGGAAGAATTTAAACGAAATTTGATACATAGGCACTTGGGATAAAGGAAAATCAAACGCCAATTTCAAATTTGGTTTTGCGCATGCGCAGTGCCAACTTTTTTATTTATGGAAGAATTTAAACGAAATTTGATACATAAGCACTTCGAATAAAGGAAAATCAAACGCCAATTTCAAAATTTGGTTTTGCGCATGCGCAGTGCCAACTTTTTTATTTATGGAAGAATTTAAATGAAATGTGATACATAGGCACTTGGAATAAAGGAAAATCTAGCGCCAGTTTCAAAATTTTATTTTGCGCATGCGCAGTGCCAACTTTTTTTTATCTATGGAACTATTTAAGTGAAATTTGATACTTAGGCGCTTGGAACAAAGGAAAATCTAACATTAGTTTTAAAATTTAGGTTTGCGCATGCGCAGTTCCAACTTTCTTATTTAGAAAAGCATTGAAATGAAATTCTTCTCATAAACTGAAATTGAAGTAGCACGTCAACAATGGATTGCCCATGTGCAACGCTATCTTTCATATTTGTGGCCGGATTTTTACGATTTTAACAGAAGTTGCATCTTACAAATGGGAAATGAATGCAAGTGGAAATGCGCTTTATGTAAATCGTTTAGGATTACTTTTTAACTTGTTTAACTGTGCTAGGGCGTGTAACTTTATTGGGTGGACCTGTCTTTGTAGTGCATGTTGCGTTACTTGTATTGTTATTATTATTAGTTTGCAATTTGGTTTATAAATTAAATGGTCGACACCGCAAAATTATGAGCTCGTTAATGAAACAACATTGTCGTACAATAATTAGACAGCAGTTGCTGCATGCCCATTCTAAGATTCTGCCTCCCCACTTCTCTATCGCATGCCATTTATAACGAGCTCCTAGCGAGTTTACAATTTTGCGGTGTCTGTCCGTCCGTTTTAGCACGATATCTCGATAACGAATGGATCGATTACGATAAAATTTAGTAGATGGATTCTTTATTATTAAATTTGTAGATCGGAGTTCGTGAATTGGCAATGTATATCCCAAAAAATAAGGGAGGCCCTTTTGACATCTCCATAAGTCATGAACCGGATTGCATGAAATTCAATATGCGTATAGCTTTAGTCATATAAAACGCAATTCCAAAAATTGAGCCTAATCGATCAACATTCACAGTGCCCTTTTCGCATCTCGACCATTTGTAAACCGAATTGCAAACTTTTTTATTTAAATGAAATTTGATACATAGCCACTTGGAATAACAGCAATTAGCAAAGGTAGAGCCATTTTCCAAATTTGGTTTTGTGCAGGATGTGCAGTGCCAACGTTCTTATTTATGGAAGCAATTAAATGAAATTTCATACATATACCTACACTTTAAAAGTTTAAATAAAAGCAAAACTAACATCAGGTTTAAAATTTGGTTTTGCACATGCTATAGCCATACCCAGGAGCTCGTTTTCTATATTTGTTTAGTTTATTTATTCATATTACGTTTTTTCGTACCTTTCATTCACATCTTGCCTCCATGATCTCTTCATCGTGACCAAGCTATTTCGTTTTCTTCATTCTTCCTGGTGCAGTTAATGCCATATAAGTATATCTTCTTTGGCCATCTTATTCCATCTTTAATAAAGAACCAAACCATAGATTACGATATAGGAGGGCGGACAGAGTCCACGCATACCTAAACGGCGAGACCTCAAATTCGGGCCCTTTGTACTACCTCCCTGACTTGAGTTGTCCGACACCTCAACGTCACTCAAGGCATCTCACAAATTTGAGATGAACCTAACGATGGTGGAAGAGGAGGCGGCTCTAATCGTGGCCAAGTCCGGCCAGGATACCCTCAACATGGTACATGTCAGTTGGACTACAACGGGACATTCACAAAGTATGTGGTGTGCCGTTTCATCGTCTGTGTAACCAATTCTACCAAACCCATGCAATGCATAATTATGTCTTTTTTTTAGTTTGCAGTGCCCAGAATGTATATGCCCACGAGTAACCTCCGGTTCTCGATTGATAGCACCGCCGTTCACAGAGGAACAATGGGAAAATCTGGACAAGAGAGGCAACAATGAAAAAGGCTAAACACATTTTACATCACATCTACAATATACAAAAATTAACAATCCGAGGAGGTAACTAACACTTGAATTTGAATAATTTAAATATGACGTTAAATTACTACAACATTTGATAAGCTAAAGAATGACCATCCCAAATAGATTTAGAAACAACTTCCCCCATTTGTGAAAGAATAACATTCCGAAGTCTCATACATAAAAGTACATTAAGTAACATTGTTAATTTATAGCCGGACCTCCTCAAGTCCAGAAGGTATCTGAAGGTTCTGAATACTGTAAACTTAGACTAAAGTTGTATTTCGAGATGAATGCTGCTAAGTAGGTACCCTATCTTTATCACTTCGCATCTACATCTGCTCGGGCGAAAAGTTAATTGCACTCAAAAAAGGCAGATTCGTACACAATGAATTGAAGTCGCTAATCGATCTAAATGAGTTCCAAAGGTTCAAACAAATCAAATGAAAATCAATAATTGAACAATCTGAAACAAATCAAAATAGGAATGACATGTACATTGACAGCAAATAAAACCAAATTCAAGAAACACTTTACCCTGAGTTACAAACAGGTGAAGGTGTTTAATATCACCATTAAACAGGAAAGGGCGCTGGCCAAATATTAGAGAAATAGTTAATTGGGAAAGAAAGTAGGATTAAGAAATAAAATTACATTGCATTATTTGTAAATGAGGACAATTTGCACACAACATTGACTAGGTTAGTTTTCAATTTGCAATTAACAGATTGCAATTAATTTGCCAATTGTTGTATAAAATTTTGTATATAAACAACGTAAAATGTAGAATAAATTACTATTGACACAAAAGTCGTTTAGTCACTCTACGTGAGCACGGGGCTTCCAAGTCTTTAAAATTCGGTGCATGAGACTGTGTACCACCCTGTGCTTACACTAAATAATATTGGGAGTAATCTCAATATTGTTCATGGTCCTTCGAGCCAACACCAGCGGCAGAAAATAAAAAGGTCCGTCAAGCCACCACCAGCGGCAGCAAAACCACTATTAGCAGTCAAGGATTTACGACCCTTGGACTTGAGCGAGAGGCACTGGGTAAGTGGAATTTTATTTTGACTAAAAAAAGTCAAGGGAAGCGGCGAAAAACAAAAGGATCCTACCTACTAACAAAAAGGCGATCAAGAGTCGCGTCGCTGATGCAGAAGAACGCCGGCGACAACAACTGGAGACTGATTCCTGTAGCAGGAAGGAGCAAACCATACAGCTTCAGTCCAACGTTAAGAGTCCGGGGGGACCCACGGATATCTGCGTGCGACAAACACAACGTTGCATTACAGAACAAGTTTTTGGAATTATTCGGGCCAGAACCAAATTTTCAGCATCCGACACAACAACTACTACTAAAAAAAAAAAAAAAGGGGAAAAACGGTTCTGAAGTAAGAGGGGGTGTTGGTTTGGATTCTGTTTTAGCTACCAGAAGTTCAAATGGAGCAATTAAACGAACTCGCACGGAAACAACAGGAGATTGGTCAACAAATGTGTAAAATGTTAGCCAATATGAAGAAAGACTCAGCCTCCAGGAAAACCAGCGAATATATTGTGAAACATGACCGACAGCTAGAAGCTTATCAGGAAGGTATCGAAAAAAATCATAACGAAATTATCGAATTACAGATACAAAATCATGAGTATCACAGTACAAAGTACAGAGATCAGCTGCAAAAGGTCTACGACAACACGATAAATTATCTACAACAGTTACAGAATCAGCAGAAGAAGGAAGAGGATATTGAAGAAATGGATAACGAACAGGAGCTCCGAATAAAAAAACAGGAGGTTCGTCTAAAACAATTTAGAGGGATATTGTTTCAAATGGAAGAGGAAATAATGGAGCAGAACTTAAGACGCTGCGAAACATTGTACACCAAAGCAGAGAAGAAGTGGGAAGTAATATCAGAGCTTGAAGTGGACATTCAAGCAAACGAGGTGAGCTTCTCTCATGAGTATTTTAGAAAGGATCCAGTCACGAAAATGGAATTCGAATACGATAACATACAAGAAAAATTAAAAATGCTCACCAAAAAGGCAAGTATAAAGGCGACAAACAACATCGAGCTGCCCAAAATAAAAATACCAACGTTCCGAAGTGGATATGACAATTGGGCTCCCTTCCACGATTTGTTCGAGAAATTAATACATTCCAACGAGAAGTTATCGAACGCGGAGAAGATGCACTATCTGAAGGGGCATGTGGACGGAGAAGCAGCAAGACTTATACAGCATCTAATGATCTCGGAACAAAATTACGTAACAGCATGGAAGATCCTTCAAAACAGGTATAATAACAAAAGATTAATGGTAAATACGTTATTAGATAGAATCCTGGAATTCTCGAAAATGGAAACAGCGAAGGCATCTCGATTGAAATGGCTTCACGATACCATACATGAGTGTCTGGAGACAATATCAAATCTGGGAATGGATACATCGTCATGGGGTCCAATGGTAATTAGAATCACCACAAAGAAATGGGACTCAGAAACCAACAGGCTATTTGAGCAGTCACTAAAACAACCAAATGAAATCCCAGCATTAGGAGAAGTGATGCAGTTCATGCAGACGAGGTTCCAGTCCTTGGAGGCATCGGGGTCAATGCAGAGCAAGGATGCGAGTCCTAGGTACACCTGGGGAAACACGTCCACCATATCATGCCATTACTGCCAACAGGAGCATCGACTTGAACAATGCCTTAAGTTCAAGGGGCTATCAATCAACGACAGAAACAAGGAAGTAAGAGAAAGAAAAATATGTTTTAGGTGTTTAAAACACAACAGCGAGGAAAAATGCTACTCAGCGTACAGGTGTGCAGAATGCGGTTATCCACATCACACTTTACTTCACCAACCGTACAAACCAATAGCAGAGCGGGCAACACAAGCAAGCACAAGAACATCACACACTACAGTATCTAAAAGGAATTGTCAAACCCAAAAGGAAAACCAGGAAGTACTACTAGCAACAGCGATAGTACAAGCACAAGACCTCACTGGGGTACAGCAATTATTAAGAGTACTAGTGGACCCTGGATCACAAGCCTCGTTCATCACAGAAAAGGCAGCACAGCAGTTGAAGCTACCACGACAAAAAGCGAATGCAAGGGTATCAGGAATAGGTGGTTATGATCACACTAACGCAAAAACCAAGATAACGGTTCAATTACATCCAAGACAACCAAGTGAGTATGAGTTAACAACAGAACTAATCATTCTCACAAAGATAACCGAAAATCTACCACTGGCGTCGTTTGAGATGAACAAAGATCCATGGAAGAATGTGCTGTTAGCTGATCCCACGCTGAATAACTCCGGACCAATTGACATACTACTGGGTGCCGAGGAATACGCAAAGATCATACTACCGGGAGTCATGAAAGAAGGAAAATTAGTGGGTCAACAAACCGAATTTGGGTGGGTGATATCCGGGCAAACAAAGCACGGTGTCAACCAAGGCTATCAAATACTGGGCATGGTATCAACAATGGAAGAAGAGACACAACTATCCAAATACTGGGAAATAGAAGAAGCGACCATGGCTAATGGGTTCAATGAAGAAGACAAGAAGTGCGAAGACCACTATAAGGCAAACACTACACGCAGCCCCGATGGAAGATACACAGTCAAGATTCCATTCAAGAAGAATTCGATCAAATGGGGGCGATCCAGACCACTAGCAATAGCCAGGTTGTTGCAACTGGAGAAAAAACTAGCAGCAAACGACAAGATGCGTGAAGAATACAACGCGTTTCTACAAGAATACCTGGATTTGGGTCACATGGAAATGGTACAGGCACACTCAATCGAGGGCACACGCTATTACATACCACACCAACCAGTGATAAAGGAATCCAGTACTACAACGAAGATGAGAGTGGTGTTTGATGCATCAGCCAAAACGACGACCAGCGGAAGTTTAAATGAGATGATGTATGTGGGACCGAGGTTGCAGCCAGACATAGCCGATATATTACTAAGATGGAGAAAACATCAATATGCGTTCACAGCAGATATTAAAAAGATGTACCGCCAAATAAGGATACATCAAGACGATCGCCAGTTCCAGACTATAGTATGGAGATTCGAACGTAATCAGCCGATACGCGAATACCAGCTCAACACAGTAACATATGGAACAGCGGCAGCTCCATACTTAGCCATAAAGACACTACAACAGTTAGCAGAAGACGAAAAAGAAGAGTATCCATACGCAGCACGAGTCACGCTACAAGACTTCTATGTGGACGACATTTTATCTGGTGCTAACAGCATACCTCAAGTAGTACAATTGCAAAAAGAATTAACCAATATGCTAAAAAAAGGAGGGTTCCAGCTACATAAATGGGCAGCCAATAAAGAAGAGATATTAACCACTATTCCCATGGAAGCTAGAGATCCTGCTGTAGCCGAGTTCAACAATGACGACCAGATCAAATCGTTGGGAATAAGATGGATACCAAACCAAGACATCTTTACGTTCAAATTCAAGGATGGCCAAGATAAACCAACCAAACGGAACATTTTGTCGGAAGTGGCCAAGATATTCGACCCTTTGGGTTGGCTGTCACCAATACTCCTAAATGCAAAATTACTCATACAAAGACTCTGGCTATCCAATACAGGCTGGGACGAAGAGGTGGCGGAATCAATCAAGATAGAATGGACAAACTTCAAAATCGATCTCAGTATGGTGGAATACTTACGGATACCTAGATGGATGCAGTACGATCAAGACCAAGAAAAAATAGAACTTCATGGGTTCTGTGATGCATCAGAAAAAGCGTATGGAGCAGTGGTGTACTCAAAAACAGGAAATGGGTGCATAAGTTTATTAATGTCAAAATCAAAAGTCGCCCCAGTACGAACCAGGCAAACGTTACCTAAATTGGAATTGTGTGCAGCAGTGCTACTAGCAAAGGTGCTAAAAAGAGTGACAGAAGCATTACAGATACCAAAAACAACAGTGTACGCGTGGACCGATTCCATGATCACACTCGCATGGATAAAAGGTGACGCAAACAAATGGAAAACCTTCGTGGGAAGTCGAGTGGCACAAATCACAAGCATGACCGCAAAAGAACAATGGAACCATGTGCGTACTAATGATAATCCTGCAGATCTGGTATCGCGAGGAACAACAACATCCAAATTAAAAAACAACACGTTATGGTGGAATGGACCCATATGGCTAAAAACAGATAAATGGAAACACAGTACAAGCGAATATCCTACAACAGAGGTAGAGAGCAAGAAAACTATGACAATAATAGTGAACAATAGGAACGAGCTAGCAGAAAGGTTTTCTTCACTAACACAACTAATTCGAGTGACAGCATACATCATTCGATTCATCAAGCATTGCAAAAAAATTACAGTAGCTGACGAACATTTAACAGTAGAAGAACTCAATACGGCATTAAAGAAACATATACAAGTAACACAACAGAATACATATCCAAGGGAAATACAAAAGTTAAGTAAGAAAGAACAAGTACACAAGGACAGCAAGTTAGAATCGCTCAATCCGTTTCAAGATGAAGACAGTTTACTTAGGGTAGGAGGGAGGTTACGCAATTCTTACTTATCATACAACGAAAAACATCCATACATTCTACCAGCAAACAGCCATCTAACACGACTACTGATTTTGGATGCACATCAAAAAACATTACATGGAGGTCTTCAAATAACATTAGCATATTTAAGAAGAAAATATTGGATTATCACCGGTAGAAGAACAGTTCGAGAAATCATCAACAAGTGCAATACATGCATAAGACATAAGGGACAAACATTACATCAAATAATGGGAGATCTGCCAGCATCCAGAATAACACCATCATCACCGTTCGAACATTGTGGAATTGACTATGCCGGTCCCATACAAGTAAGAGCATGGAAAGGCAGAGGCCATAAATCATACAAAGGATACATTGCAGTGTTTGTATGTCTAGCAACAAGAGCGATTCATTTAGAAGTTGTTAGTGACATGACATCGGAAACATTCATCGCGGCTTTCAGAAGATTTTCAGCAAGACGCGGTGGTTGCCAACACATATACAGCGACAACGGCACCAACTTCGTCGGAGCCAGCAATATGATACAGCAAGAAATTCAACAAATAGTACACAGTAGAGAAGTGCAAGAAACATCGGTGTCAACTGGAACTCAATGGCATTTCATTCCCCCAGCAAGTCCACATATGGGAGGAATTTGGGAAAGTGGAGTTAAGTCCTTAAAACACCATTTAAGAAGAGTAATTGGGGAATCAACACTTACATATGAAGAATTAACTACATTAACTCATCAAATCGAAGCGTGCTTAAATTCAAGACCAATAGGAAAGTCCAGTGATGTAGTAGACGGAGGTACAACACTAACACCCGGTCACTTTCTAATAGGAAAACCAATAATAGAACCATTCGCGAAATCATCAGGTACAATAGAACTCAACTTAAGCAACAGATGGAAAATGGTACAAAACATGAAGAAACAATTCTGGAAAGCATGGACGACGGATTATTTGCATAATTTACAACAACGCTATAAATGGAAAACAAAAGAAGACAATCCAAAGATAAATGATGTAGTACTCATCAAAGAGGACAACTTGAGTCCAGGGAAATGGCCACTTGCAAAAATCAAAGAATTACATCCATCAGAAGACGGCACTGTACGCATTGTTACCATCCAGAAGGCAGATGGGAAAGCATCAAAAAGGAGTATTCATCAACTAATACCAATCACGACAGAAGAAGGTAACACCGCAGAAAAAAATCAAACAGCAACATCACAACAACACGCATATGGATGCAATCTGAAAACATTCGTTATAAGCATACTAATGCTATTGGTCACAGTAACAGCAGAATACAATATTACATATCCAAAGCCAGGTTTCTACATTGAACACATGGGAGAAGTTCAAATTGAAAGAGGTATATTCCGAATCGATCTACAATACAACAAATCACGAATCAAAGAGGATATAAACGCAGCATTTCTAACGACTAGTAATTTCAAAGAGTTGTGCAAGAACGCAACAGAAATGACAGAAAACGTACAATGTACAGAATTGGTGCAACATATCGAGGATCAAGAAAATCAATTGAGATGGGTACAAGAGGGAATCAACTACATAAGTCAAACTCGTAAAAAAAGAGGTATCTTGGGGAATATATTAACGGCGATATTCGGTGTGAATGACGAAGTATACAAGGACATTGATGCGTTAAACAAGAATCAGCAAGAGTTAATGCGGAATTCAGAAAGACAATCCAAAATAATGTTGTCTACTATATCAAAATTTAAAGAGACAGAAAACCGCATCGAGAAGCAATTAGAGCGCTTCAACACTAAATTAAATGAAGCGATAAAAGCCATAAACCAGATGCAGAAATGGTATAAAACAATAGACGAAAACAGACTAAATATTCACATCTTAAGTACATATCAAACTAGCAGTGAATCTAGTAACAGAAGTACACAATCACTACAGCAAAATAAGAAACATCCACTACAACCAAGGGAACTTTCAAGAACTTATATCAGAAACCCACATCAGAAGTATTATTACATCGGCAGAGCAGAAATTACCAAGCATCCTCAAGATTTTACCACATCCAATAATCAAAGTAACTACAAAACAAACAGTGGAAGTGATTCATGTGTTCGGGTTTTTTCTGGTGGCAGAGATCACGGTATACGTGATTATGAAAGTCACCCCAATTCCTATAAAAATTGAAAATTCTACGTTTTGGACCTTAAATGTCAATGAAGAAATGCTAGCTGTGGACTACAACAATCAACTATATTTCGAAATATCAAATGAAGAATTCAAAGACTGCCTACAAACAAACAAACACAATTTTATATGTGCTCCCACTATGGTGAAGAAAATAGAAGAAAACAAAAATTGCATCATTGACGAAGTCTACAACAGAACAGAAATTAACCAATGCAATATACAACAACATGAGATTCAAGGATTAATTTGGAAGCAACTCTATGCCACCAATACTTGGATGTTCATCACTAATCAGTCCACACGTATCGCTATCTCCTGTAGTGGCGAACGACAGGAAATCACGATCAATGCCACTGGAATTATCAGGATTTCACAAGATTGCCTGTTGAAAACAAAGAAAAGTATACTCAATCCGAAACGGGATAAAAAGTTATCAGTACTAGGTAGCTACATAAAACAGTTTAACAAACCATATAATCATACAAGGTCAACTCAGCAAATAACCAAAGTAATAGAAGAATCAATATTCCATCCAGAAGACTCTTTTAAACAGCTAAAAGACGAAGAAGAAACTCTTAATGCAGATATTCGAAATATCAAATGGCGGTCCACAACATCACAGTCCATTATTACAAGCACGACAACTACCTTACTCATTGCAATTATCTTGGCACTCGTACTAGGAATAAGATTCTACATCCAGCACAGAAACAAATCACATACCAAGGACAACGATCGCGAAGCAGTTCAGTTAGAACCATTATATTCAACTATTCCCGGGGAAACACAAAACTAAAAGATAGATTAGGGCGCGGCTGGCAGAATGTTTAATATCACCATTAAACAGGAAAGGGCGCTGGCCAAATATTAGAGAAATAGTTAATTGGGAAAGAAAGTAGGATTAAGAAATAAAATTACATTGCATTATTTGTAAATGAGGACAATTTGCACACAACATTGACTAGGTTAGTTTTCAATTTGCAATTAACAGATTGCAATTAATTTGCCAATTGTTGTATAAAATTTTGTATATAAACAACGTAAAATGTAGAATAAATTACTATTGACACAAAAGTCGTTTAGTCACTCTACGTGAGCACGGGGCTTCCAAGTCTTTAAAATTCGGTGCATGAGACTGTGTACCACCCTGTGCTTACACTAAATAATATTGGGAGTAATCTCAATAATGTTCAGAAGGCAACATAATTTACAATATAAGTAATTTCAAATTTCAATTAAAACTAAAGTAGGTACATTATACACTTTTGAAAATGGAGAATGGCACAAATCTTACACTGGAAAAATTAGCAGAACTTGAACTAAACTCTATGGATGGAGAAAGCCAAGTGACCTCAAATACAAAAATGACCCTGATATGAACTGACCAAAAAGCAAACTCAGCAAAGCTATAATTCAACACACCATTTCTTTCCTATACAGACCAACACTGCAAAGAGCACAAAATTCAGGTAAACCAATAGCTTTTCAACAAGTAACAACTGATGGGTAGGTATACTATGGTGTGGCTGGACAATCAGTGCTCGCAAGGACACCACCATCTAGCTTCTTATAATAATTCTCAACAAGCCAGTTTCAACGCGCAGAACGGTGTCTTGAATTTGCTTGTACAGACCCGCCATATCTTCACAGATTGCAGTCATGTTTGACCCTCGCGTTCTCACAGACGAGGAACGGGAAGGTCGACTTCACTCATGTTTTGAGCTTCAAAATCAGGTCAAAGAGGACCCTGAAACTTTTTTCAAGGTAATAATTGGTGATGAATCGTGGGGCTATGGATACGACCCCGAAACAAAGCAGCAATTAAGGCAGTGGAAGACAGGTAAGTCTCCTCGTCCCAAAAAAACAAGAAGAACAAAAGAATGCTCATTTGTTTCTTCGATTGCGAAGGTCTTGTGCATGCAGAATTCGTTTCCCCAGGTGGAACTGGTCAACTAGAAGTTCTACTTGGAGGCTATGGAAAGATTGAGGGAAAGTATCCGGAAGACATGGGCAGGTTTTTAGCGCACAACTTCCTTTATGATAACGCACCGGTCCACACCACCCTCTTCCCAGAGACCCCAATGAAACCGAGCCTATATTTTCCGTTTCTCTTACAGTGCATTGACCATGAACTGAATTTACTTTGGACTTATATTAAAGATAGGGAGTTCATACACCTCGTGTTCCTTGCCTATTCTGTTACCCAAAACAGAATTCGAAAATTTCGTTCTGAAGAAAGGAGGACACATAAACACAATGAAACCATATAGTCTGCTAATCGCTATTTCAAGGATTTTAGTACTGCCATTATTGTATTTATTGATTTTAACTTATAGACCTCCACTGTGCCACTAAAATTCATGACTTGCCTCCCTTACTATTTATTTTTGTCAGCTACATGTGATATAATTTAAGGTTGTACTGCTTTTGATATTTATTAAAAGAAAATGTGATAATCCAATATTTCACAGTTCATACTTTAGAGCAATTAACAAAATTAATAATAAGTTTTATGTAGTCACAAATAGATACAAAAGACCGGTTGCAAATTGTACAATTTCAGAGCCTCCTAGTTTTGATTCCCCATAAACGCGATCTACAAAAGCAATTGGTACTTCGCCTATAGTAAAATGACACTGCCTCGCTCGAACAATCATTTCCATTTGAAAAACATAGCCCTTAGATATACAACTTTGAATTAATGTTTGCAAAACGTCTTTTTTGTATAAACGAAATGAACCGGTTAAATCGGAAACGCCAGGTCTCAACAGTAATTGGGTTAAGAAATTAGCTCCTCTGGATATTAGTTTCCTTTTAAAATCCCACCCATGCACTCCACCATTTCCTAAATATCTTGTTCCTGTTACGATATCGTAATTATGTATTTCTTGTTGTTGTATAAATTCCGGAATGTACTTTGGCTAAAAAACACATGTCTCAAAAACACTAACGGTGAAAATGATGCTCACATGGTGACTTAAATCCGCATCCATGATAATTATGAAGTTTCCTGTCGCATGTTTAATGCCATGTATATACGCTGTACCCAATCCTAACTTTTTTTCTCTTGGGCGTAGAACAATTTTTGATGAACCGTAAATTTTTTGTAGTTGTTCACCAGCTTCCAACGTACCATCCGGACTTCCGTCGTCAATTATGATAATTTCATAGCCATAACCACTACATAGAATTTATTTAAATGAAGATAATCACTTGCTGTGGCTGATTAGAACTAAAGTATGTATTTACCTTTTCTCCATACATTTCACTATTAGCCATATTATTATAGGTAAATTTTCTACCTCATTGTAAGTGGGTAACAGAATAGAATATTTATTTTGCGATTTTGTAGAGGACGACATTATAATTTAATACAACTTTATAGTAATCACAGATTTAATAGGTTATGCTTTCTTACACGTCGAGTTGTCAACTGAAGGTTATTTGAACTAATCGAAGGCAAAAGTTCTACTTTTCAATCAAGTTCCACCACTGAAATGGGCGCGCCGGCCACAACCAAGTGTTTATCAGTGCCACTATAATTAAGGTACTCGACTCGCCATTAACGTGCCCAGTGGACTGTTAATATAATATATAAATTCTGTTTGGAATAATCGGACGTTTTGCGCATGGCTCAGTTATTTAAACCGTAAATGGAGTAGCTGGTTTGGTTTGCAGTCCGATGATGGCATAGACAAACCGCACTGGAAGCTTTCGCCCTAGCCGCTAGCGGATTCGTTTCGTGAATTTGCTTTCTTCTTCGTGAATTCGTTTTTACGCTCGCGAATTCGCTGTCTCCCTCTTTACAATGGCCTGGTTTTTGATCTAATAGAAACATTCCTCTCAACATCCAACGGTCTCACCATAGGTATTAGTTCCAAAAATACCAAAATTCATTTTTCAGTAAAATCTGTCAAAGTATGAAAGTTGGCACTTAAGGGCCGCGGTGCATTGCAACCTTCTCAAACTAATCTCAACAGTTTATGCTTGATGATAATATTCAAGAAATATTTAAAAATGGAAACCATACAGGGTGCTCATCGCTCATGTATGGAATAAGTATAGTAGGTATTTCGGTAAATATCGAATGTATAGAAAATTTTTCTATATGAAAGTTATATTTAGCATTTTATTTCCCATAATCATCATCATCATTTCAGAAAACAAATGAGTAACGAAAAATAATTGAATTTTTTAAATGGCAGTGCACCTTTTCATCATATAGCCATATTATGCTTTTCATTAGACTCATTTGATAGAGATTTTTTTTCTTTTCGATGATTTAACATTAACATTGGTACCCTAATACAAGAAAATTTTTCAAAAACTTATTATAATCACATCATTAACATTAATCTAGATATCGCACATCAAAATAAAACAGATGAATGTGTACGTTTGTTACCATTTTATTGCTAATTTCATTTTGTCTCTAAGGTTTAATAAGAACGTACACGTTCATTTCTTTTTTTATGTAGGATATCTAGATATTAATGTTGTTGATGTGATTATAAGTTTTTTTGGAAAATTTTCTTGTATTAGGGAACTCATACATGCGTTACATCATCGAAAAGAAAAAAAAATCTCTATCAAATGGGCCTAATGAAAAGATGCACTGCCATTAAAAAAAATTCAATTGTTTTTCGTTACCTACTCATTTATTTCTCTGAAATAAAACAACTGAATACCTACTGCCTTATTATGGGAAACAAAATGTTAAACAACTATCATGTAGAAAAATTTTGTATACATTCGATATTTACAGAGATATACATCAGGGGTGGTGACTTGCGTAACGCATCATAGAGATTTTAATGTAAAATTCATAACATGCGATTATTGGCTCCCCAAATTATTTTAGAAAAATGTATTAAGGTTTTTTGTAGAAAAATATTTTTTACGTCAATCAACCGTATTAGTTTTCAATTTTTTGCATAATAAAGACGGAAAATTGGAAAAATAAAACCCCCATCTTTTTCAATAATCTGTGATGCCATGGAATTTTATAATACAAAACTACGCCAATATCTGACATGCCATGGAATGTCTGCTATAAAACAAATCAAATTCTATCAAAAAGTATATATTATATTTAGAACAGGGAATTCAACATTAAGAAAGACCAAATTACTAAAAACCGTTTCCTAATATAACAATTTACAATAAATGTTCGAATAAACAGTAACCAAGTCGATAATATAAAATCCATTTCGAACTGCTGCTAATTGATAACTGGATATTTTTTTGTTTTAGAAGATTCCATGGCATCACATAGATTATTGGAAAAGATGGGGGATTTATTTTTTCAATTTTCCGTCTTTATTATGCAAAAAATTGAAAACTATTACACGGTTGATTGACGAAAAAAATTTTTTCTACAAAAAACCTTAACACATTTTTGTTCTAAAATAATTTCGGGAGCCAATAATCGCATGTTATGAAATTTACATTGAAATCCAGAATCTCTATGATGCGTTACGCACGTCACCACCCTGTATACTATATTCCATACATAATAATGGGCACCTTGTAGGTATATGTTCTTACTAACATCATTGTTTAAATACTTTACAATGCTAACATCAAGATTGTTTGGAAAATTTATTTAGCGTTGTTCGAGCCAAGCAATTAGTGCTGTACAATTTGCGATAACCGTCGACAAGTATTTAAACATGTCCAGGAGCGGTTATAAATACAGATGAAACAACGTTCTTGGTTGCTGCACCATTACCGAATATACTTATCAAGAAGTAAATATTCCTGAACAATTTATAGTAGCTTTGTTGAAAAGTATACAAACAAGTACAAATTGTGCACAACCCTTAGTGCAGGTAAAGCGCATTTTTTTAAACACCCCTACGAAATTTCTTCCATAAATAAGAAAGTTGGCACTGCGCATGCGCAAAACGAAATTTTGAAACGCGTTAAGTTTGGTTTTATTCCAAGTGGCTATGGCTATGTATCAAATTTTATTTAAATGCCCTATGGTTATATTTCTTCCAAACGTCCCAATCGCCCTTTGTAGAGGTACTTTCCTTTGACAATTCACTCTTAAGATATAAGGAATTATAACCGATCGCGACAAGGGATCGAGGAGGAAGACTATGGCTAGTATAAATTAATTCCTTTCGTTGAGACCTTTAATTAGAATACAATGAGATAAAATTAATTTTTAACCCCCTAACCCCCCCCCCCTCAGGCCCCGTCGCTCATTGATCTCGAAAAAGAGTCGCACGGGAAAGTTACAGTTCGTACAAACTAACAAACCAATTTATTTCGATGAGACCTTTCATTAAAATATCATGAAGGGTAGAACATGTGTTTACCCCCCCTTTTTCTAAAGTTTAACTTGGCACCACTAAAGGCATGCGCATGCAAAATCTGAGAGCAATAGGTTGGCGTATGTAAAAGTTATGCACGTTTTACCTACTTTCAAAAACAGCATCTCAGGAAATAATTTGTGAGGGAGTCCCCCTTTTAGACAGGGAAATTTAATGGCTGTCTGTCACACCTTCAAGGTATAGGCTATCTATACCTACTGCAAAAAAATTCCAGGACTCGAGGACCATTCCCCAAGAAGTAGTTCAAAACGGTAGAAGTGGGTCCGGACAAACCACAAACAATAGCAAATTTTTTTAATTCTTAAAAAATGCAAAAGGTTGTTCCCTGTGCATGAAATGCATTCACATAGGTATAGCTTATGTATCAGAGTTTAACTAAGACAAGAAAAACTGGACCCGATCATAACAAATTGACTTGTAATACCATACTATTTCATGTAATTCAAATACCCCTCAATAACTGGTTCAAATTTCGCGCCACATTAAGGCTACAGAATATCCAAAATTGATGTGATAATTCATAAACATAAGCTCAAATTTGGAATTTTACATAATGCAGCTATAACAAAAAGTACAGTGGAATGATGCGAGAGGAGCAACTAGTTAGTAAGATATATTTGCAACATTTACAATAATTAAAAGATCATTTATGTAGCTTACTATAAGTACACATAACATGACCATAATCGAGACAAATTCTCAATTTTTTCAACAAAACAATATACAATTCAAATACATAAGCTTTCATAATTGGAATGATATTTACATGTCTAAATTTTAACTAATATGTAAGTACTCTCTAAGTGTTTACAACAAGTAATGAAACACATTACATTTAGCCCCTCTTTATTTACTGACGATAATTCTTATGAATTTCTGGCTTGATATCATACACCAATTCCAAAACCTTGTGCATCACCTAAAAGTAATGAAATCATAAAATGTAAATAAAATTACAGGAAATATTACCAAATCTTTTTGGCTCAAGATCGCTTTGTTCATATCTTCAATACGCAATTTGGTATCCTGATCAATTTTCGCAGCAACATCCTCTCGGGATCCCATGTGTTTTGCCTCAAACTCACGAAACTGACGTTCCCGTTCCTTACGATATTTCTCAATCTCATCTTGGGCTTCTTCCTTGGCCTGCTTTAGACGTTTCGCTTTACCTGAAAGCAAAACAATATCCTTCAACTTATTAATGACCTAACAAAGGAAGACAATGCAAAGTTTAGAGTCGCTTAAAAACTCGTGATGTATTGAATGAAACGCCCCAATTTATTTTTTATTAAAAAAAAGAAATTCTGCTTACGTTTACGGGCTTCCGACACCTTTTCCGCCGCCCGTTTCTCGGCAGCTAAAAGTTGTTGAATACCTTGCGTTTGACTTGCCATTTTAGTTTAGTAGAGAAAATTGCAAAGGACGGGAAAAGTGATCTTACAACAAGATCCACTCGCTCAGGTGTCTCGTCATATGATTGTTTCGATTTGTATATTCAACACTGACGTAAGAGCGGCGCTGTTATCGTAAATAATTTTAATACATCTACAGGACGGCTAAAAAGTTGATATCGTATGCATGTACAGTGTGTTCAAATTGAAATTGACATTATTTGTAATGTTTAGCTAGTTTAATAGTTATTTGTAGTGTACTTAACCCCCAGGTTCTACGCTAACTTTACACTACAAGAACACGGAAATAAAGTCAACCCGGTAACGTTTAAAAATGGCCACCCGAATGACTATTCCCTCCAAAACTAAACAAGATCCCGCTTAAATTTGAAAAGTGGTACGTGATTAAACATCTAAGGCAGGGCCCCCTTACGTTAGTTGTAAACAAAGCTATGACCTGAAGCACAGTAGGGAAGGAACATTAAATAAAACACTGAAATTGTGAAAAGTTTTTTAATAGTGATCGTAAATTATTAATATTGTGAAAGCCCGGAAATTTATTTGATGTACATTAATATAAACAAAGCCAAAGGTGTCGTACTCTCGCAAAAGTAACTGCTAAGGGTAAAAAGAGTACGACGTAAGAAAAACCTCGCAGTTTGATTAATACAGTCCAAAAGTTAATTAACAAAATATTTTGTAAAAGTTTAAGCAGTAGTTAACAAAGATAGTAAATGCATATACACAATGCTGGTTACACTCAAGGTTAAAAGCAAGTTTTTGGGAACAATGGGTCAGGTATAGGAGCAGGTAGCTAAAATAAGAGTACAGGATGTGACAATAAAGTCCTTTTGTTATAAAAGCAAGATGGATAATTACATGGCCTTCGTAGGCAAATTTAATCAAAAACAAGATATGCCAACTCTCAAAAATGTATGTATCGTCGTAAGTTGTATATACAGGGTAGGGTGGAACCTCTCAAGGCGTTAAATAAATTAAAACGGCAATTACACATTGTAGTGTACTTAATCTCCAGGTTCTACGCTAACTTCACACTACAAGAACACGACTCAACCCGGCAACGTTCGAAAATTGCCACCCGAATGACTATTCCCTTGAAAAGTGACACGTGATCAAACATCTAAGGCAGGGCCCCCTTACATTAGTTACAAACAATGCTATGACCTGAAGTACGGTTGGGAAGGAACATAAAATGAAACACTGAAATTGTGTAATAGTATATTTCATTAAGAGCCTAGAAAGCAGACTTTTCCGTGCGCGCGTGGCAAATAACCGTATACGGCGCAGCCGAAATGCTGTTGTGTTTTATGGAACATATTATACAGGGTGGTGACTTGCGTCGCGCATCATAGGGATTTCAATGTAAAATTCATAACATGCCATTATTGGCTCCCCAAATTATTTTAGAGCAAAAATGTATTAAGGTTTTTTATAGACAAAAATTTTTTACGTCAATCAACCGCGTTAGTTTCCAATTTTTTATATAATGAAGACAGAAAATTGGAAAAATAAAACCTGCATCTTTTGCAATAATCTGTGATGCCATGGAATTTTATAATACAAAAACTACAATATCCGTCATGCCATGGAATGTCTGCTATAAAACAAATCAAATTCTATCAAAAAGTATTATATTTAGAACAGCGAATTCAACATAAAAGACCAAATTACTAAAAACGGTTTGCTAATACAACAATTGACAGTAAATGTTCGAATAAGTCACCATTAACTGCAAGACAGTAACCAAGTCGATCATAAAATCCAGCTGCTAATTGACAACTTGACATCTTTTTGTTTTAGAAAATTTCATGGCATCGCAGATTATTCAAAAAGATGCGGGTTTTATTTTCTCAATTTTCCGTCTTTACTATGTAAAAAATTGAAAACTAATACGGTTTATTGACGTAAAAAATTTTTTTCTACAAAAACCTTCATACATTTTTGCTCTAAAATAATTTGGGGAGCCAATAATCGCATGTTATGAATTTTACATTGAAATCCCTATGATGCGTGACGCAAGTCACCACCCTGTATAGGTACAATATATACAAAAAAATGGTAGTCGAAGTACACGTGGCGAGCGCTCCCGTCGGAGTACGGTACGGGCTGATGCAGATCTTTTGACTCATTGGCTGATGGAGCGTTTAGTTTGCTCCCGGAGGTGCAAAGCGGCGCGTCGCCATAGAGCTATTCACACTGTTAAGGGTTTACTTACCTACTGCTACAAATTTTGGTAGCAATTAATGCAGGCTCTTTCAACGAGCGTAGTAGGGAAACCCTTGCACTGCTTCCTATATCCTACACATTAACGGATTAATCTGCAGATTAACGGTTCAGATCCGTTAAAGTGCGAAATTTTCTTTAAATTAGTAGCATTCTGTAGATTATGTACCTAGTTAATCTGCACATTAACACATTCTAAATTGTTCAAGTGCGAAGTTCACGTATACAATAAATGATTTCAATGCAGTAAGGTTCTAAAAATGTTTTAACTACATACCTAATTTAATAAGTTTGTTTCAAAAATGTTGTAATTATTTATCTTTATTCTTTTCACAATTTAAACAAGATTTGCTACTACTGAGTTGATTTTACTGAGTATACCAAATTAGTGGTAGTTTTTACAATCAATTCTAATGTTTTATGTAAGCAAAGAACCAATTTTTTTTCAAATTAACGCACACTTGATTATTAATCTGTAGATTATCTAGTGCATCTGCAGAATAACTAGGTAATCTACGAAGTAAAAGCATTTTTCGCACTTTAACGGACTTAAGTAGATAATTTGCAGATTAACTAGATAATATATACAGGGTGGCGACTTGCGTAACGCATCATAGGGATTCCAATGTAAAATTCATAACATGCGAATATTGGCTCCCCAAATTATTTTAGAGCAAAAATGTATTAAAGTTTTTTGTAGAAAAAAATTTTTACGCCAATCAACCGTATTAGTTTTCAAATTCTTCATATACAGACGTTAAATTGGAAAAATAAAACCCGCATCTTTTTCAATAACCTGCGATGCCACAGAATTTTCTAAAACAAAAAGATATCCAGTAATCAATTAGCAGCAGTTCGAAATGGATTTTATGATCGACTTGGTTACTATCTTGCAGTTAATGGTGACCTATTCGGACATTTATTGTAAATTGTTATATTAGGAAACCGTTTTTAGTAATTTGGTCTTTCTTATGTTGAATTCGCTGTTCCAAATATAATACTTTTTGATAGAATTTGATTTGTTTTATAGCAGACATTCCATGGCACGACGGATATTGGCGTAGTTTTGTGTTACAAAATTCCATGGCATGGGCATCACAGATTTATTGAAAAAGATGGGGGTTTTATTTATCAAATTTTCTGTCTTTATTATGCAAAAAATTGAAAACTAATACGGTTGATTGACGTAAGCAATTTTTTTCTACAAAAAACCTTAATACATTTTTGCTCTAAAATAATTTGGGGAGCCAATAATCGCATGTTATGAATTTTACATTGAAATCCCTATGATGCGTTACGCAAGTTATCACCCTGTATATACTATACAGGGCCATTCAATATAAAAAAGTGAAATTTTTATTACCTGAAAAATGCAATGTTGTTTTGTTTTTTTAATTACAGATTTGGGTTCAATAGAAAAAAATACACAATTTTGGTAATTTAACCGTCTTTCTAACTCTACGACTAATGGCAGTTTGCACCAACAAATTTAAGCTGGGCTTAGCTTAAGCGTAGCTTAAATTCCCTGACAACCATTGTCTCAATAATCGTTGTCATGGATTTTAAGCTCCGCTTAAATTTGTTGGTGCAAACGGGCATAAGAAAGTTAGCAATAGTGTCGATTTAATTTGAAACAGACTGTATACAGAAAAATTTATTAAGAAGTAGACATAGGAATGTATGTGTATTATCTTAGGGAGACATAAGGAAATGTCTACTCTTAAAAGACAAAATCTCTTCTGAAGGGCGCCTAATTTTATGTATCCAAAATAATTTCATAAAACAAAGATCTGGTTGTCATATTAATTAATTTGTTGCTTTGACTTCTGCATTGTAATTTTCGTTCGTCGGTGATTATATTCACCTGAAGAAAAAGTAGTTAATTGGTATTGTTCAAATTTAGTTAAATTTCAAATTAAAGTTAAGTGGGAGAAGTAACGCATTCCCCTTCCTTACTATCTTTTCCAAGAGAGCACACTTTTGGTTTCGATGAGGCGCGTAACGCGAGCGATCCTTATAACGTCGACTTAAAATTAATAACGTGCGACTCTACAACGCAAGTGAAATAGAAACCCAGAAAAAGGTGTCTACCGCAGGGAGCTCCCGAAGAAAAGGAAGTCGAATACCAAACAGTAAGTGACAATTCCTTATGTTTCCTTTACACCTTTTGAACAGGTATAGTGCCGGTAACAGTTTAAGAAGCGTTAGAGATGTATTTTCTGTAAAGCACCAATATTCAAATTAACTAATATGACAGCCAAATCTTTACTTGGTTTAAGAAGTTATTGTAGTTGCATAAAATTAGGCGCTCTTCAGAATAGATTTTGTCATTTAAAAGTAGACATACGAAAAAACAATAGCCGTAAATCCCTATGTCAACTTTTAAATAAATATCACTGTATATGATGTAACTGTCGAAATTTTTAAATAAATGAAGATTTTGTTCAAGTGTGAAAACTGAAATTATGGTTGGCTAACATTATTTTCTAGTTATAGTATCAATTGGACAAAATAACTAGCACCAAGCTCGCGCGCAGTCTCTGTCCTCAGTTTTGAGCGTTGCCTTAGTGTGAAACAAGCTTTCCCCACCTTACCTTAAATTCTATGAAGGAAAAAACAAAATATGTATGAACAATTGTCATTTTTCTTAGTGATACTGGAAAGAAATGACCATTACAAGTTCAATATGTACAGAATTTACTGTCAATGTCACCTACTTAACAATATTGATTAAAAATTTATCGTCACTCTTTAGGTAGTTCACCACCATTTTCAGAAGTGTTATTCTCTTTCTGTTTCTTAATAGTTTCCACTAAATGTTTATACCTTAATATACACTGCTCCTAAAATGATTAAAAGTTAAAGATGGAAAGAAAACAATTTGAAAGATAACCTTTGTTTTTCCTGGAACACAATCGGCAATACAATCCCAACGATCAAGAGCACCTTTGGGGTATTTTGCTAACGCATTTTCCATAGCTTTTTGTTGTTCTTGCGTCCACACGGATTGATTTTGTTCTGTGGTTTCAAATTTCCCTCCCTTAGTCTTTTTCTTAACACGAATTTCCTCTTCTACTTGTACTTCTTCTGTGGAGAGCCGGAAATTATTGTCTTTTATTTTGTTGGCCATGTAAGTGACTTCGGAGACAGTGCGGCCCAAAGTATCTGCTATAAGTTCCCATCGTTTTGCAGTTCCTCCCGGATAACGATTAATAAGGTGTACCAACTCGTTGAGATCGTCATCTGTCCATAGTCCTCCTGATACAGGAGCGCTGTTATTATTTACGGGCACATCCTGACTCGCACGTTGTTTGGACGGTTGAATTTCAAAGGTTGGCCCGTTGGGTATCGCAAAGGCAGGTTTACGTTTGCGGACTGTCTTGACCGGTTGTACTGGTTCATCATCGCTGGTTTCACTTTCGTCTTTTTCTAGCTTTTCCAGCGCTTTCAGTTTCAATGCATTAAACATCCATGGTAATGATATAATGGTTCTCCATAACAACTTCGGAATCTGCACTGGTAGAGTATTTAGTATTGAGGGTTTGGGAACTTCAATTGTTGAAGCTATTTGCCTTTGCTTTTTGCCTCGTACTTGATCCTGAAAAACATAAAAATTAGTCATTTTCCAAATTTATGTTTTTTTTAATACAACATATTAGAGCTAAATGGAACATCATGTAAAAGGCTATTTCAATTGTTCCAATTTTTTCGTTTCTATCTTAACTACTTTTCTCAGCCACTACATAGCATACTAAAATTCAATTTACTACTTTGTGTTATTTTTATTTCATCTTGTTCATTTCTATCGGGAAAACAGTTCAAAGTGTAGTTTTAAGGGGGCGGTATCCAACGGCTTTTATGATTCATGACCACTACAAGCGCTCACATAGGTTTTGTGTGTTAGGCAACACATACAATACATACAGGCATTGAATAAATCAATTACTTAATCAATGATACAGATTAATATTACTGTAATAATCCAGTCGGTATAGACAAAAAAAACGAAAAAAGGTTTTCGCCTTAAGGCGAGTAACTTTAGCGCATTTTCCATGAATTGATTAGTACTTCCCGAAAGGTCATACAGACTATTTATGTGTACAAAGGAAAATAAGTTTTGGTATAAATATTCTTATAAACAAAAAAGTTAGGATTGCGCAGACTGCGCATGCACACACCTGATGTTTAAAGTATGCCATATGTTTGCCTTTACTAGAAGAATCTGTGGTTAAAGTTAAAATCTCTATAAATTGTATCTGATTTTTACAATATGCAATACGCTTGACTTTAGTAGAATCATCTGTGGTTAAAATGTCTCCATAAATATGAAAATTGACATTGCGCAGTTTACTCATGCGCACGTCTGATTTTTACAATTTACGATATGCTTGTTTTTAATAGAAACATCTGTGGTTAACGTTTCAAACAAAAACACCCATAAATAAGGAAGTTGACATTGTGTAGCTTATGCGCACATCTGATTTTTACAATATGCAATATGCTTGTCTTTACTAAAAGCATCTGTGGTGCAGTTGCAGGAAAGCTGCCTTGACGTGTTCTTCAATATGTGTTATTGTCAAGCCTCGGCATGTACAAACGTAGCCGATATATATACCAACAACGACAAGAATTGCGACGAAGAAATTGAGATTAGGATTGACAATCTAATCGAGCAGCCGCCTGGTGACGAAGGCGAAACTGAAAACGTGGATGTAGAAGCTGCCCAAGATTTGCAGGTGCGAGTCATTCGTCCAAGACCCTCGTCACGATAAATATCAAATTTGGATTTGTAGATTAGGCTTTTTGAGGATACCACATAAAAAAAACGCTTAATCTCTAGGGTGTTGTGGAAACGAATAATACCGACTAAAATGAAAAAAAAATAGTGTAAGTCCATTAGTCCGCTCATAGCAGTCAGAAGTTCAGAACACATAAAGGAATTTCAATTTTATCCTTAAGTTTAAAAAGTTGTAGTTTCGAAACTGTTGGCCACAGCCAAAAAATGTTATATAGCAAAGCTGTAGGGAATAATTAAAAAAATTAATTCATAGGGGGCGAAAATAATCTAAGCATTTTTTGTGTAAAACGCCACACAATTGATAAATATAACGTACTATTTATGTGTACAAAGAAAAATAATTGAAGGCATATTCAAGTGTTATACGCAACGGTAAAGGAGACCCTTCTCTCCCGGTTATGAATGTGACATGACGGTTATATATTTTACCATCAAGCAATTTAAATAAATAAATAAATGTACCCAGGCATTATTATTTATTTATTTACGGAAACAACATAAATTGGCGAGGAGGAAGATCGATAAAAGACATTTCTGCAATTATTGATGGTTGTGATTTTAGTAAACCCGTCGACGATTTTGTATTGGCATGTTTTGTCACATTTGAAGTACACTTTTTTCGAGAGGAGTTGACGCTAGCAATATTTTGAATTAAGGGAGAGGAAGATTATACCCATGGTACAATAGGTATGCCTATAACTAAACGGAGATGACGTTTTATCCCAATGACGTAACAAGAATCACCGCCAAGTTTGAAAATGACATACGCTTCATACTTGAATTAGAAGTGCCATTGCAATTACTCAATTAGTGTGTAATAATGATGGATAAATAACTTTGGTGGCAATCCTCGGAAGTGTTTTGTGTAATAGATGTGCTCCAAAGTGTTTCTTAATATTGGTTACAAAATTACATTGGCTACGCCGGCTACGCGCATTTTCTATTCATGTGTGCACAAGTGCATAATTTATTATAACGGGCGATCAAAAATGAGTTGCTGCCGAGTCGCCTTTGGAAGTTCAAGTTAAATACGATTTCCCATGGAAAAAAAATTCCAAAGGTGACTCGACAGCAACTCATTTTTGATCGCATAGTACTATAGGCACATTTTATGTTTCGTTTTGCATCTCTGTAAGTTTTCTGCTTCAACAAAAAGTGGGTTTTGAAACTGGATTTATAATTGATTATAAAATCACACAATGCACATTGTACAAGCCTGGAATTCTTGTGTGTATTAACATATGCCTTTTTAAACTGTATTTATTAGTTGCATAGTCACACTGCATCTCGGAATGCATTTGGAAATAAATATCAAGCAACAGAGAAGCTAAACGTACCAGTTATTGTACTTATTTCAGAAATTTAATCAGCTTTTTAAGTTTTTTTTTATTGCCGCTAGAGGTCTCGTCCTTATTTGAAAACGCTAATATAATTTTTACTTTTTTTACTTACATATTTTATTGTAACTTTAAATATTTGTATTGCGATAACATGCAATAATTCATACTTTGTAAGTTTAATGTGAAAAAGTGGACGCAGTTGACATGGATTGAACAAATCTTATCACATCTGTAAAGGGGATACACATTTATTAACTGGTAGGACTACACAAACCCCATTACTTTATTGGTAGAGCCCAGTTATCCCAATGACGTCACGCATAGGCACACCTTGTCTTATTGTACCATGATTATACCCATTACAATAGCTTTATTAGGCAATATGCCGGAATTCCAGGATACAAACGACTTTAACATCTACAAGGGTAGGCTAGAGCAATTTTTCGTAACAAACTCGATATCAGATAATAAGGTTTTATTCATGTCAATTTAGAGATTTATGTGAAGTAGTTGACATATTGGTTATTAACAAGGGTAGTTACATCTATGGTTACACCGCTGTTTAGGTAGAGATATTTTAAAAAAGTTCAATGTTTCAATGGCCCGTATGAATAAAAGTAAGCAAATGCTTATACTTGCAAAATTCAAAGTAAATACTCGTAACTGCCCCTTCATACTGGTCTGTTTAGCATGGTTTAGCAGTGCTGCACCGCGTCCTGTCCTTCTGCTTAGAAACGCTGCTAAGTCGCCTAGTGCGAAGGAGCACTTACGAGTATTTACTTTGAATTTTGTAAGTATAAGCATTTGCTTACTTTTATTCATACGGGCCATTGTTTCAGCCAGAATTTTTTTTATTGCACAGACAATGTGGAATCTGATTTAGACGGGTTGATTAGAAAATTTTCAGATTTATTTAAAGAAGATTTGGGTTGTTTTAAATATGAAAAAATTAAGTTATCAGTATGGGAAGGTGCTTTGCCTAAATTTTATAAACCGCGAGTAATTCCTTTTGCTTATAGAGACAAGGTTGAAGCAGAATTAACAAGGGTAGAGAAGGAAGGAGTTATTACACCTAGGTATATTAAATTCAGACTAGGGTACGCCCTTAGTTCCAATATTAAAACGGGATGCTTCTATTCGACTTTGTGCAGATTATAAAATCACAGCTAATTACCCGTATTTAGAAGATGTAAAACACCCTTTACCGCGAATTATAGAATGATTTATTGCTTTACATGGTGGACAGAAATTTTCACGTCTTGATTTTAGTTATGATAAGCATCAACTTGAATTAGAGGAGGAGACGAAACTGTTATTAGCTTGGTCCACACATAAAGGTATTTATAGAGTTGAAAGGTTACCGTTTGGAACTAAACCAGCTTGTAGTGTTTTTCAACGTATCATGGAGAAAACGTTACTTGGGTTAAAAGGTGTAGTAGTATTCTTGGATGACATCGTAATCACAGGTCACAATGATACAGAACATTTAGAGAATTTAAGAGGAGTCTTTGATAGGTTGCAAGGTGCAGAGTTTAGATTAAAAAAGAGTAAATGTTTATTTTTTCAAAAAGAAATTAGTTACCTAGGTCATATAATTGATAAAGATGGCTTGAGAAAGGATAAAACAAAGATTGAAGGGATTTTAAACTGTCCAAGACCCGATACTATTTCTAAATTGAAATCGTATATCGATATGGTAGGATATTATTCAAAGTTCATCTCAAATGTAACAAAGTTACTAAGTCCTTTGTAAAAATTATTACAGAAAAATTCAGAATTTAATAAGTGGAACGATAAGTGTTAAGATGCTTTTAAGAAATCCAAAGAAATTATGGCATCAGATACAATACTGGTGCATATTGACCCTCATCTTCCTATTCAAGTTTCATGTGATGTACGTTCTTACGGAATTGCTTTTCAATTTCGAAAACAGCTGTTGAATGAATTGGAAGAAGTTCGTCTTTCATGGCGAACGGACGTGTTTTGTGCCAGCTCCGGCTGATTTTAGGGTCTTTTGTGACTGTATAGTTTTAAAAATGTTTGTCCTGTGTGGCCGGGAGTGCAGAAAAATTTGCAATTGTTTAGTGCATATTCGATCGAAATCGGTTCGGTTGTTGAGATTTTACGAATTTTTAAAGTATTAAGTTTAATCTCAAGATGCATAACGCGCGGGACTAATTAAATCGTGAGAAGACAGGGCAGGAACCTCCAATCAACAGAACAAAACTTGTTAAAATGAAGAGTACTGCTCGCTCATATTTTGGTGGCCAGGGATGGATTCAGAGATAGAGAAATTGGCCAAGGCTTGTGATTCATGTAACAAACTGAGGCCAGATCCACCAAAAAGTGCTGTAATTCCATATGAACAGTCGAAACATGTTTTTGAATCGTGTTCATATTGATTTTTTTGGTCCTATTAAAAACCGAATGTTTTTAGTTTTAATCGATTCTTTTACTAAA